CTTATTAATATAGATAATGTGATATATATTTAAATTACATACCACGATATGTCTCCAAACCCGACAATATTGCCTTTTGCTTGTGACGAATAGGTTTCCGAATATTGCTTGCCATTTTTTAATTATTATTAAAAGAATAAAATTTGACATGAAAAAGCAAAAAGGAAAAATTTAACATATGGTTAATTAAAAACAAAAGAAAACATTAGTATTAGGTAGATTTCACAGTTAGCGGTGTTTCAAAACTTACGAATAAATAATTCTTACTTTTTTATTTTTTGATTTTAATTTTACATATTTATGCAGAATTTATTATTTACTATTTATTATTTATTATATATTATTTATCTATTCTTGAATTTTTTTATCTCACAAAATTTTTTAATTTTTACAAAGATTTTATGAAATAAAACTGGATATCAATTTCAGTTAAATATTTTTAATAAATTATTCATATCGTGAATAATAATATTAAAACAGAAAAAAATGATTGATGAATTACATAATTAAAAATAATTTAATAAAAGACGACTGTAAAATATGAATGGTAAAAAAAATTTTAAATTTAATATTTAATTATTTCAAATTGAATATTTAAAAATTACAGTAAAAAATTACATTTGCTTTATTTTTAAAACTATTAGAAAAAAATTCTCAATTTATTGTTATTATATGCAAGATAAATAACTTAATGCACATATTTCAATGAGTATTAAAATAACTAATAAAAACATAAATATATTTTATATAGGTATATATAATACTACATTACAATTATATCAAAAATTTTGGGAGAAAGTATTGGAAATAAATTAATAAACATTTTTTATTAAAAAAATCATCGTTTTCTACCTATTGGAATAATTTAAAGACTTTTTCATTTAATGTTTTTTTACCATTGACATAGTACTGATTCGGTGTGAATGACAGTGTACTGCCAGTACTGGTTTTAATATTTTTTTACCTCCGACATAGTACTGATTCGGTGTATTAGTCAGTACTTTATTCGTTTCCTTAAGTATATTACTGTATTCCCAAGCAGCACGGTATATCCCCTGAATATCCCTTGAATACCACCGTGGAATATTCCCATGATCTTCCAGGAAAATCAAAATGTCCGCCTCATGGAAATATTCCACGGTGACATTCAGGGAATATTCCAGTGACATTGAAGGTAATATTAAAGGAATATTCCAGTGATATTGAGGGAATATTCCACGGTTATATTGAATTTTTTTTAAAGTGTTGAAATAATAAAAAAGTGTTATACATTGTTATTTAAATAAGCAGGAAGATTAAAAACACATTTAAAAAAAAATTCAATATAACCGTGGAATATTCTCTCAATATCACTGGAATATTCCCTCAATATCACCTGAATATCCCTTTAATGTCACTGGAATATACCCTAAATGTCACTGTGGAATATTCCCATGATGCGGACATTTTGATTTTCCTAGAAGATCATGAGAATATTCCACTGTGGTACTCAAGGGATATTCAGGGAATTTACCGTGCTGCTTGGGTTAAGGGATGAAAAAAGTTGAAAAAAATTTGTAGTAGATATATAATAGTTGAACCAATCGAATTTTTTTTTTTTTATTTCAGTATTTTGTCTCGCATTTGAAAAAAAACAGACTTAAAAATCATACCAAATTTTTTTCTTATTCTTTATGACTCCTATAACAGAAATTCACTTCAATTTTTGATTTTTGTTATGGGAGTCATAAGGAATAAGAAAAAAATTTGGTATGATTTTTAAGTCTGTTTCTTTTCAAATGCGAGACAAAATACTGAAATAAAAAAAAAATAAAAAAATTTTAATTGGTTTAACTATTATATATGTACTATAAATATTTTAATTTTTTTCATCCCTTAATACAGTAATATACTTAGGAATCTTTTTTCTTAAAACTTTCTTAGAAATTATGCTGTCTCCATTTACCCCAAATTTTATGCAATTATTAATTAAATTAATTAAATTTAAAATTAATTGAGAATTTATTTCACATTTATTCATGTACCCCTTTATACAGGGTTGAATGAATTTTTTTGGTGCAGTAAAAATTAAAAAGAAATTAATCTATATTTTTTTTATTAGATTAGCTCGTCGATTGAGGGCAGAAACACGCCAATTCAGGTGAATGTTGAGAAACATGACAATCTAAAAAATATTAGGGAAACCTGCCATTCCAGTGAAGATTTCAAAAACATGCCATCTCAGATGTCAAATTTTTGTTGATTGTTTTAGGTTGGTAACACTGTAAACGAAAAATTGATGAGTCAAAATAATTAATATTTTGCTGAATATTGATGGTTAAGTCGGTAGAACCTTTAATAATTTTATTATTAATAATTGTACTTTTCTTAATTTTTAATATTGATTTCAAGAATAAAATTTTGTTAACTATAATATAACATTCTCAAGAAAGTATTACCAACTTAAAACAATCAACAAAAATTTGACATCTGAAATGGCATGTTTTTGAAATCTTCACTGGAATGGCAGGTTTCCCTAATATTTTTTAGATTGTCATGTTTCTCAACATTCGCCTGAATTGGTGTGTTTCTGCCCTCAATCGACGAGCTACTTTTAACCTATATGTAACTCTAGAAATAAATTAATAATTTTTTTTACATTTATTCATGTCCCCCTTTTACTCAGATTAAAAGAATTTTTATCGGTATCCTAAAAATTAAAAATAAATTAATCTAAAATTTTTTTTATTAGATTAGCTATTTTTATTTAACCTATATTTAATTTTAGAAATTAATTGAGAGTTTTTTTACATTTATTCATCTACCCCTTTTCCTCAGTTTAAACGAATTTTTTTGGTACCCAGAAATTAAAAAGAAAATAATCTAGAATTTTTTTTTACATTTATTCATGTACCCCTTTTTACAATGTTATACGAATTTTTTGGTACCTTAAAAGTTAAAAAGAAATTAATCTAGAATTTTTTTTTTTTAAATTAACTATTTTTAACCTATTTTTAGTTCTAGAAATTGATTGAGAGTTTTTTTAAATTTATTCATGTATCCCTTTTTTTAAGGTTAAACGAATTTTTTTGGTACCTTGAAAAGTAAAAAAAAATAATCTTAAATTTTTTTTTATTTAATTTGCTATTTTCTCCCTTTTTTAATACTTAAATTAATTGATAATTTTTTTTACATTTTTTCATGTACCCCTGTTCTCCAGATTAAACAAATTTTTTTTTGGTACCTTAATAATTAAAATATAAATTAATCAAGAATTTTTTTTAATTAGCTAAAAATTAATTAAAAATTTTTTTTACAAAAAACCAAAAATAGTGAGAGTGAAAAAGTCAGTGATATGTGTTCTCTCTCATGTAAAGTTTACGTCTAACGTCTTACGATTTTCATTATGCTTTGGTCCATAGAAGTCGATGCACACAGGTAAAATAAAGTTGGTTCTACAATAAGCGCATCGGACGTGGACGCGATCGTGCTGACGTCACCCATTTGAATAACATTGTGACGTCAGCACGTCCACGTCCGACGCGCTTATTGTAGAACCGACTTAATGCTGACTCTACATTGGCTGCGTAAACGTGTACGTGAACGTGAACGTGCTGACGTCACCCATTTGAATAAAGTCGGTTCTACAATGGGCACGTTTGTACGCGAACGTGTACGTTCCGTGCTGACGTCACAATGTTCTGCAAATAAGTGACGTCAGCACGGAATGTACACGTTCACGTACAAACGTGCCCATTGTAGAACCGACTTCACATTGTGACTTCAGCACGTTCACGTACACGTTTGCGCAGTCAATGTAGAGTCAGCATGAAAGAGCTTGTACGTACAAGCTCACGGATTTGTAAGTTGTACATTGGCCTTTATCTACGTAAAATTTGTTTTTAAAGGCGCTTGTACACCTCACAAATTCTTCCTCGGAATTTGTCAGAAGTTTCACTAACTTTGATTGGATTTGCTCATAGAAAATTTCGAAATTTTCCTTTCTTTTGAAAATTCTCCATGAGCAAGGCCAATCAAAATTAGTATAACTTTTGACAAATTCCGAGTATACTTAGAATTTGTGAGGTGTACAAGCGCCTTAAGGCGCCGTCCCATGCTGACGTAAAAGCGGAAAGCATGAGAACGAAAGAGAAGAACATATTTCATTGCTTTTATAATGTGTCTCCAATAGAACCATTAGGGTGCACTCCCATAGGTGCGTAAACGTAAGCGAAAAGCAGAGAAACATGAGAGTGAGAAGAATATCTTGTAATCATGTTTTCCTGCTTTCAGTTTTACTCTTATGCTCACATGGGACTTCACCCTAATGGAGCGGTCACACCTCGGCTGCAGGAGGCAACCGTGTAACAGTAAGAGAGATAGAAGATTTTCCATCTCTCTTACTCTTACACGGTTGCCATTGGCAACTGCTCCTGCAGGCGAGGTGTGACCGCTCCATAAGGGTTCATTTTCATAGGACATCAGTTGATGGAAGCAACACATGAGATAGAAAAGGACATACATTTTTTTTGTCCTTTTCTATCTCATGCGTTGTTTCAGCAACTGATGTCCTATGAATTTGCATCTTAAATAACGTAAATGTGGACGTATGACATACTAATGCTAAATTATGCTTGTTTCGAAATTCCAAAAGTTCTGATATTGGCAAAAATTAATTATCGATGCTTTGATAAAATTTAAATTACATTAGTATATCTCTTCTAAATTGAGAACGGAAGCACATTTAAAATGTTAAAATTTTTTACGGAATTATTGTAAATAAGATAATATTATTTAACTCAACTGAAAGTTGTCAATTGACCAATATTTAAATATTTTATTTATTAATTAATACTTATTTACCAAAACTAGACAAGAAAGTAAATAAGAAAAAGAGGTTATGCTGCCATTGATGCGGCTACAATGTCGACAACCTGGTTTTCTACAGTATTATACGTATAATACGTATAATAATGTTTAAGTGCCAATCTCATGAGTGCAAAAGAGAAAGAAAGACTACCTATCTCTTTCTCACTCATGAGATTGTCACTTGGACTTGTACTTGGCTTTTGCACCTATTCTAGAACCGCCTTTACAACAACTTGCATCGGTACTTGTATCTGCATTTGCTTTGCATTTAATCACTGTCTTACATGTGAGCGCGCACATCAATTTCCAGATATCGAATATTAAATTAAATAATGAATTACTAATTCATTAAATATCATTAATACGTAATCAATTAATTAATTCAATGTATAATAGACTCACTAATTAATTATATTTAATTAATTTGTAATTTATTAATTAATTTAATTTTCGGTAACTAAACAATTCATGCGCATGCGCACATGCAGTAGCAAATGTAAAGCAAGTACAGATACAAGTTGTAGAAGCGCCTTAATTTTAATCCTTCCCGACTCTGCTTCGGATGAACATAATTTTGGGCTTTTGCTTCCCAACCCTGTTTGTTTACAAATGTCATCTTTCGATGATGATAGTGTTTAACAGAAATTTAAGTCCTAGAATTTTGTTTGTAAACAATCATAACAACCCTAATAAATTAATAATATGAAAACGATATTTAAGGTATTTTAAAATATATAATTTAATATTTTAATTAATTAACTAATAAATTTATTAAATAAATGTGTTGAAGGTCAATAATAATTAAACTTGTTATAATGTTATATTTGTAAGTGTAAAGAAAATAAATATAAATTTTTTTTTAATTATTAAGGTGTCTTTATTTTTATTATTTTTAATGAAAATTAATTACATCAGTTATTTATATTTTTAATTGTTCATGAAATTGCACCTTAAATTTGATTGTTTCTTTTATCAACTATAACAAGAGAATGCGAAAACAAAATTCAATGAAGCAGTTTCACAGTAAACGAAGTATAAATGTCAGCTTTTCAAGACAATTTTGTATTGTGATATACATTTTTAATTAATGACAACGAAACGTGGTTTTTTCAATTATGATGAATGATTTAATTAAAGATATTTTGGACAATGAATGCAGTCAAGATCCTGCCATAAAAGATAAGGTAAAAATTATGATTATACTTATATTTAAAAATTCATAAGCAGGCAACATTTTTATTTTTTTCATTTTACATTTTTTACACTTCAGTAATTTTTCAAAATATAAATGTACAGTTATTTTATTATAATACATACTTTTTTATTAGTAATAAATTATATTTGCTTAAATAATATTAATATGTATATATAATGTAAATTATTTCTTTGCTTTTATTTATTTATTTTAGTAAATAATATTTATACAAAAGCTATGCAACAAAAACAAAAAATTGAAATTAAAAAATATAATACAATAATAGCAGTTAAATCAAAAAAGTAATATATAAATGTGCAAAAATATAAAAAAATTAATAATTCAATAATATTTTAACCTCAATCGATTATAATCAATGTTATGTTTTTTCAAAAAATAATTTAATTCAAAAGTTTTTGGAATATAAAAAATCTTTTTTTTCGAGTTTTGAATTTTTTTTAATTTCTTTAATTTATTAAATTTAAATTAATTTTTAAATTTCTTTAATTTATTAAATTTAAATTAATTTTTAAATTTCTTTAATTTATTAAATTTAAATTAATTTTTAAATTTCTTTAATTTATTAAATTTAAATTAATTTTTAAATTTCTTTAATTTATTAAATTTAAATTAATGTTTAAATTTCTTACATTTCGTAGGCTTTAAATTTATAATTTATTAAAATTAATTTAATTTATACTTTTCTTAAATTTAAAATTTTTTATATTGTCAAAATTTGATATCATTTTTTCTAATTTTTAAAACTCGTAAAATTAAATTTCTTTTTATTTTAGATACTTTAAGTTTTTACTTTGTGTAATTGTAAACAATTCTTAGTATTATGGAATTTTAAAAAACATTTCTTATTTTAAAAACATAATTAATAATAAAGTAATATTTGAATTATAAATGTAATTAAATAAGTGTGCAAAAAAAATCAATAATGCAATTATTTTTTTAACCTCAATCAAATATACCTAACCATTGTTTTGTTATCTTAAAAAAATTAATTTAAAAGTTTTTGGAATATAACAAATATTTTTATTTTTTTTAAATACTGTAGGTTTTAAATGACTAATTTATCGACATTAAATTAAATTTTAATTGTCGTAAATTAAAAATTTATTTAAATTGTCAAAACTTTTTATTTTTTTTTTTTTCTAATATTTGAAATTAGTCAAATTTCTAATTTTTTTCATTGTAAATACTTTAAAAAGAGTTTCAACCTTCATTTTGAATCATTTTAATTTACATTTTAATGATCGTAGGAAGATATATTTTTTTCCTTCCATCATTTGGGTCCTAAATCCATACAGGATGGTCAAAACAATAAAATTTTATATTTTGACCATTTTAGAAATTAATTTAAAAAAAAAATTAATATTTTAAATATCTATCTTCTTTCTCAATTTTGACTATTTTTCATCGCCAATTTTTTTCCAAGCTTTTTTTAATGATTCTTAAGAATCTCTTTCATGGCTTTTCAAAAATTTTATTTTTTTCTAAAAAAGAAAGAAAAATATGAGTTAAAATATCATTGCACTCTCTTATTAAATATGTATCTTTTTTCAGAATTTTAAGTATTTTTCAACGTCAAATTTTTTCCACACTTTTTTTACTGATTCTTCAAAATTTATCGCATGGATTTTCAAAAATATTTTTTTCAAAAAATAAAAATTCTAAAATGGTCAAAAATTAAAATTTTCTTTTTTTGATCACCTTAATATGTTTTCTGGACCCAAATGATGCAAGAAAAAAATATAACCTCGTTTAATAATTTAAATTTAAGTTGCTCAAAATAAAGGTTGTGACTCACCTTAAATTATTACTTTTTAAATTGTAAATGTGACGCGCTCCGAGGAAAGGTACCTAAGAAGCAAATCATTTTAAGGTTCTGTTTGTCGTAATTTTACCTTAATTAAAAGATTATTTTTTTTATTATGTAAAGTAAAATCAGTTTTTATTAAATATTTTTAATGTTATGAAGATTTAAACACCAATAATTTATATTGAGAGTTGATTCCCTTTGTGTATTTTTACTTTAAAAATCACAAACATAACTTACAATTTTTTGCTTCTTAGGTACCTTTCCCCTGAGCGCGTCACAAATAGCTTATTCTTAATTTTATTGAATTTAAAGAAAACATTTCTAATTTCAAAAAATTAATCAATAATAATAAAATAATATTTGAATTAAAACATTTTTTTATAAATTATTTTTTATAAATGTGCAACAATTTAAAAAAAATGAATAAAATGTAATTATTTTTTTTAACTCACTCAAATATAGCCAATATTAGGTTTTTTCAAAGAAAAATTCAATTTAAAATTTTTTGGAATACCTATAACAAATCTTTTTATTTTTAGAATTTTGAACTTTTTATTAATTTTTAAGCTTTATTTCTTATTTATTATAATTAAATGAAAAAAAATGTTCAAAAAGATCTTCATGAAGTTGGCGTCGATGCTCAGCGCCGAAATTTTTTTTCACAGGACCAAAAATGTTAAATTATTTTTTTAAAAAAGATTTTTGGTCTACCCAGTCGAAAATCGTAAGTTTCCCTGAAGGGTTCACATGGCCTTCAGGTAACTGTTATGAAGGTTTCAAAAGCTTCATGGCAACTATTTATACATTAGACCTAAAATTCTGTGATATTTGCTTTCTGACTTCTTAACGGGAAGCTTTTTCTACAGCTTGTTGAATATCTGTGGACAGCTTCTAGCAAAAGGTCTACCAGTTTGCTTGGTGAATGCTTTCCTAATGCCTGGTTTAATGTGTAAGAAAGCAATTCTATTTGCTTTTCACAAGTTGCAAATTAATATGTAATTTAATTACCTTTTTTACACTTTCTGAAAACTAGAATAATTTCATTAAATTAAACTATATCGAAAAATCATAAAAATTCTATATAGTAATTTGTAAATCCGTTTTATACAATTAATAATTATTCTTTATATATTATATAAAAATTATTTTTCAAAGAAAACGTTTATTTTTAAACACTTAAATTATATACGAAAAAAATTATATATAACTTGAGCAAAATTTGGGGTTAGGAATACGAACACGGTGAAAACTTTTTATATTGAATAATGAATACAATTTCTTAAAAAAAAGACAAAATATTTAATATTTAAAAAAAACATTATTATTTTTATACTTGATATTTATTAATATTTTTTATAAATAATATATTCTTTATTCTTTTAGAATTTCATAATTTATGAAAATGAATTTAACAGCGTATTTTTATTTACAAATTTTGGTTGACAACAATATTTTTACGAGATAAATAAAGATGGAAAGAAAGGTTAAATTTAATTTTTGATCATTGTCATTTTTCCGCTGTTTCCTGAAACATCCATGACGCTTCATTTAATTTTCGCCACCCGAACGCTTTCTTTTTATATATGCAAAATCCTGCAACTCTTTGATAACTCTGTCAAAGCTACTTGAATGCTTTGTTTAAAACGTACAAAATTTGTTATTTTCAAGCTTTCCGTAAAAGCGAAAAATCGGCCATAACAGGCTTCCTGAAAGTTTTCTATAGCTAGTTATCTACTGTCTCACAATTCTCTAATGGTTATCTCAATACTTCAAAACAACTTTTTGTTCAGCTTAACATAGCGTAGGATTTTCGACTGGGTAACTAAATAATGACTTAAGAAATACTTTTCAAGGTATTATATGGACCCAAAACCTTTTTAAAAATAATTTCATATTCTTGGTCCCGTGAAAAATAATTTTAGACGCTGAGCGTCGACGCCGACTTCATGGAAGTTCAAAAAGTTGAGTTAAAAAGTGGTTTCTATTGTAGTTTAAGGGGGTAAACTCATGTAAAAATTTAAACGTCTATAACTATAATTATTATACATAGCTAATTCAATAAACTTTACCACTTTTTTGTAAAAAAATCTTAAAAAATTTACATTTACACGAGTTTCCTCCCTTAAAGATTGTGATGTATGTTTTAAAAGTCTGAAACCCTGTTGTGGGCAGAGAGAATAAATAAAGAATAATTTAATAAATTTTCGTACATTTTTAAAACAGATGTATTTTCTTCAAGGAAAGAAACCTAATTCCGTAAAATGTGTCTTCAATAGCTATTTATATTATCAACCAACGGATTGTGAAGATACATTTTATTGCGCATATCGAAAAGATCCATGCTATGCCAAAGTATATAGGTCCGAAGATAAATATACAGAAATAGATAAGCATATTTGCAATAAAAATGATAAACGCGCTATAGATCATCTTGCGCTGAACAAAGCGGAGAACGCTATTTCTCGTTTGTGCAAAGAAACAGATTTAAGTTTCCCTAAGATACTACAATTAGTTAGTCAACGGTATTCTTCTAAATTATATTATTAATTATAGATGATTAGTTGTTAACTTAGTTTCAAATAAATCATTAAAGGAGACTGGGTACAGTTTATTCATATGGTACATTTGAGACAAATAATATTTTTCTAACATGGTTAATTATCCAAATGGAATCAACACATTGTTTTTGTGGCCAGAACAACAAATAATCTCACTTTTTTTTTTTTTAAATTATTAACAAACTTTTTTATTTAAAAAAATTATCATTTAAAATATAAATTCTACGGGCATTTATTTTTAAAAAATGCTTTGATTATTCACATATAGTTTAAAGTTTTTTAACAAGGTATTAAAATGTTAAAATTGCATTAAAATGTTCAATTGATATGTGCTTTATTCCATTTGTCGTTCACTATGATTAACACAATTTTTGATGAATTAATGTATTGAATACATCGTTAGCCTCTTGAAAGACAGGTACATGTCCATGTATTAGTAGTATTTTTCCTAATCTTACGATGCATTTACTTTAAAATTAAAAATTTTTTAAATCTTATGTCTTTTAAAAGAAACAATAAATATTGTTAATTCTTTTTTCATTAAATTCTTCAAATGTTTATTTATAATGGACAAGTTTTTTTAAAAAATATATAGAAAAATTTAGAATCTACTGAAATAAATGTTACTTGTTTATGCAATCTGTATAGACTAATTAACCATGATAAATTATCAAATTTTTAACATGTAGGTATATCTCGTTCCAGAAACGTTAAATTTAAAGAAATTTTAAAAATATGTAGATCTTGTTATTAACTGTTAAGTTTTTAAATTTCATTAAATTCTATAGAAAAGTGCGATTGCTGTCTGATTGCTACGTAAATAATAAAAAATAAAGAACAATTTACAAAATAATACGATAAAACAAAATTGGCCGTCAGTCATTCTCTGAAGTAATAGAATCAATAGTATGTGGAGTCAGAGTTAAAATTTTTATTAATGATTACAGTAGTAACTGGAAATTTTATTAAAATCCATTTGTCTCAATATTATCGTTTTTGTTATTTAACCTATTCTAATATGTCTTAGTAATTTTTTTGTGTAATCAATGTAAAAGATTTGCTAAAATTTTTTTAACTGTATCCAGTCTCCCCTTGTGAATAATAAATTTAGTAACTAGTTACTATATAACTATACATAAAACTTTATAAAGAAATTATATGTTACTAGTTTTACAAAATATACTCAAAAATACAAAAAAAAATATTCTCGTTTTAAGAGGATTCCTCTTATTTCAATGCATATTTTCCTACAGTATATGTCACAAAAGGATTCCTTTTATTTTAAGAGGATTATTCTTAGTTTAAGAATATTCCTCTTAAAATAAGAGGAAAATACTCGACGATCAAGAGTAATATTCTTGATTTAAGAGGACTTTTTAAAGAAAAATTTTCCTATTAATATAAGAATATTTTTTAGGTGTATTTTTCTTTTTTTCTATTTAAAAATTTTAGAAGAAATATGTTCCGTAAAAATGTAAAATTTTTTATGTTAATTAAAATGTGTGACACGATATGAAGAATGGGACCTTAGAAGCAATTGAATCACAAGTTAGGTGTATTAAATTTTTACCTTAATTAAAAGTTAATTTTTGTTTTTTTGTGAAATTAAAATCAGTTTTCATTAAATATTTTTGATGTGATAAAAATTTAATATCATTCGTTTATATTAAGAGTTGATCCTCTGTTGTGTATTTTCACTTAAAAATTTCAAAACACAACCTATAATTCTATTCTCCAAAGAGGACGTTCACATATCACGTCACGCAAATTTTCTAGATTTTCGGCACTCCCCTTTCCTATGTCCCGCAATTTTTGAAATTTCATATTTCATTTTTTCATTTCATTTCATTTTGTCACCTTAAGTAAATCCGCTCTCTCTTCTTTTGATTATTATTTATTTTTTAATTATTATTAAAAAGATTTATTAATTTTTTAATAATTTATTCATTATTATAATTTATAAAAAATGTAGTAATTTTTTATTTAAAAAACATTTCAGTTTACCAAATTGCAAATTAACTTTCGATGGATTTAGGGAAAGAATGAAAAAATCTAGAACGTCACGTTATGTTGAACACTCCAATGTAAAGGATTTTATGCAGGCTTTAGTGAATTTAGACGTTTGCATTGGAGAACAAATTGTAGAGAATGGCGAATTTTGCACTATAATTCAAACGCCCTATATAGTCCAATGTTGTGAAAATTCCACGGTACTATACATTGACGATCATCATAAGGTTTGTAGATCTGTAGCATGTCAGCTCCTTAACGTGCTCGCTTTCTAAAATATTAAGTTTATTTTGTAACAGTAATGGATATTTTAGGATATCCTATGGACGTCCTATTCGTATCCGGAAATTTTGATATCTCTAGGATGTCATCAGGATATCCCTAGGACATCCTGTGGATATCCTACATTCCGGTTATCCTTAGGATGTCTGTAGATTATCTTAAATATTCGGATATTGTTCAACAAGAATAACATTGCTATTTTTATAATAATGAAGCATTTCAGTTTTACCCTAATCTTCCCTACGTATATGAATAATTTGTGTTCTATAATTTGTAAAACGTTTTGCATATTTGTAAATTACAAAATTATTTTGTTCAACAATTCCCGAGTCGAAATTTAGATCCTATTTTAAGCCTTCAAACCATTCAGATTTGAAAATATCTGCATGGTTTGAGACTGAAAAGAGCTGACAATTGACAAAATTAAAAATTTTCATTTTATATTTAATTGCAATGCTTTAAAAATCAATATTTGCAGCTTCTACAGGGTAATTGAAAAATAACTATATGAAAAATAATCCAATTTTATTTTTCGAGAAATTGTAAAAAAACTGATTTTAAAACATCTTTTAAGCCTCTTGACTCCTTTTTTACACCTCGTTTTATCCTTAAATGCACAGTGGGCCAGGAGACCCGGTTTCGTGGCCAAAAGTCAATTTATATTTCAAATGGCCTTAAACTTATTACTCGGGGGTTTTTGAGGTCGCTGCTTACGAATCCGTTATTAATTTTTAAAAACCCAATATGGCGGACGAGTTTATTAAAAATTTATCGGATCCACTTAAAACTTGTCATTTGGGGTCCAATATGGCAAACGGATTTTTCAAAAATTCATCGGATCTACTTGAAAACCATCATCAACCATTTTCGCGGTTACTGATTACAAATCCGGTATTAGTGATAATGATTATAATAAGAAACTTTTTATTTATGTTTGTTTTATCTGCAGTTAGCCTACATTAATAGTAGTTTCCATGGTTTACCACGAGAAAGTGACAGTTTAAAAGTTGCAATTAAACATGTAGGTCAATTTTTTGTTTGATCTTTCTGTTTAAAAGTTATAATACTTCATAAATTCACTGTTTAAATTTTTCAAAAAAAATTCCACCCTCTCGCTCTCTTACTGTTTTTGAAAAAATTTAATAATTCTTCGTGGTTAAAGTACTCACCCATAGGACTAAACTATGTGCAAGTTACAGCTCGATTCGATCAATTTTTTTCACTTAGTATGCTACAGGAATTTTACCCGATACATATATGAGAGCATAATTTGAATTCGCGCAAAAGTGGGCGGATTTTTCTTTTAGTTTAGGATCAATAAAAAAGTTTTAACCAAAGGCGATTAAAAAAATAACGGAGTTACGGGAAGTTTACTTTCAGTATTACTACGAAATTGAAAAATTCATGATTTTATGAAAAAAACTTTGTAGTACTTCACAAATTGACAATAAAATAACTTCTATTATTATTTTTATTCTTAAACATAAATAAATGTGCAAAAAAAAGATAGATTAGATTCTTCATAATAATGATAAAATAAATAACATAAATTTCGAATGGGAGGAATAAAAATCTGAATTGATTTTGTAACTTAAGGCAAGTGTAGATTGAGAATGAATTGTCCTAAGACTATAAAATTTTCAGAGCAACTACTGTAGCTATTACTGGTTAAAAACGGTATAATTTGTTTTACCAATTTCTAAAATTGACTTTTGGCCACAAAACGGGGTCTCCTGGCCCACTGTGAAATGTAGCAAATATTGAATATTCTAGACATTTTTAAATCTGTATGTTTAAAAGCTTAAAAGAGGGCTGATAATTTAAGAAACATAAATCTGGTTACTGAAGACTTTATAGTGATTTTGAAATTTAGAACAGGGATTTTTCATTTATATTAAAGGAAAAACTATAAACATAAAGATATTTCCTCTAATGCACCACTAGAGCAATGATGCCAAAATGTGAACGGTAAAAAGACAACAATCTTCCCTTCGGAAACATCTTTTACGGTGATCATTTCGAACAATCAATCATCGTGATTAAACGATTCTGCATAGCAGTCGATTACGATGAAATTCATGAAGATCTTTGTGAGATTCCACGATTTGTGAGCATCTAAAGATTCTTTTTCGTCATTCATTGCTGCAAATCCATTCTTTTGCTTCACTGGAACTTACTGTGTCGTGATATGTTAAAGGTTAATCATTATCCTCTCTTCGAACTGTAAATGATTGAATATTCGCGTTGTGATTTTCTGCATCTAAAGATCAAAGTGTCAACAGGTTCCGGTTGAGGTTCTGACAAATCCTTTTTTTTCTTCCGCGAGGTTTTTACACAGGAACAGCTATATCTTCATGTTCTTGCACTGGCTTGGTTTGGAATGTTCTTTAAAGATATAATTACGTGATTCTTAAACTATTTGAATTTCTAGCATGCAAACTCGATAGTCTCGACCATGTACGTACGTCAGCTCTGCCCACGCGTTTTTAGGGAGATTACTTTTCTGTATTTGTGAACTCACTAAATATAACAATGTTCTGTTACATAGTTCAGTAATGCCATTTGGCAGAGGCGTATATATAATTGTTTTTTCGTGTTGGATTCCTGATGATTTACAAAACCCTTTTTAAATTCTTCACACAAAATTCAAGGCCGTTATCAGTACGGACTTTTTAGATTTTTCCCAGATTGGTTTTCGATTTCTATTTTCCATTTTTTGAATTCCCTCAATGCAGCACCCTTGTACTTAAAAAATCTCACGAAAACGTATCTGTTTGCCTTATCAATTATGCAGAGCATGTACCTCTTCTTTCCTCAGCTTTGAATGTCTACAAAACCCATAAGATCTGAATGAACGAGTTCTAAAATAGTAATTATTCTTATTTCCATCAAGACAGGAATCACTTGTCGTTAGTAAACTTTCCTCCAAATTTAATCATATGACTGAATCAGTATTTTTCATTTATAAGATTTTGTGTTTACTCACGTGCATCATCTTTTAATGCTATAAGTCAAGCGATTGTGATTTCGTTTCTTTTTGCACTACTTAATACTTACTTTTGCCTGCTCAGTGTTAATTACAAATACAGGGTGTCTAACGGTCAGGGAAAGACAGGGAATTTTTTTCTTAATCCTTGTTAGACACCCTGAAATACGATTTTTTCTTTTGTTATTATTAAAATATTTCCATCTTTGTTATTAAGGGGTGCGTTCACGTAACTCTCACTCTCACTTAAAAATTTATCACCCTCACTCAAAAATTTTTCAATCTCACACTCACTCATAAAATGTTTATTGTGTGAATGTGAGAGTAACAGTGAAAAAATTATGAATGAGAATGAGAGAGAAAAATTTGAATGAGAGTAAAAAAATTATAATTGAGAATGAATGGGAAAAATTGAGTGAGAGTGAGTGTAAAAAATTTTTGAGTGAGGGTGAGATTTAAAATTTTGAGTGAGAGTGAGATTAGAAAAAAATTACTCTTCCTCAAAAAATTTTCACTCTCACCCTCACTTAAAAATTTTTCAATCCTACTCTCACTCAACAATTTTTTAATATCACCCTCTCATAATTTTTTCACTCTCTCTCATATAAAGGTTGAAATCTATGCCAAAATCAAGCAAAAAGCTCCTATGTACTTTTTCAAAATGTGCAACTTTCATTCCACGAATATGGCTCCCCCACCACTTGCTAAAACAATGCAAAAACTGTTTTTTACTTTTTTAATAACCAGAACAAATTTTCATATTTTCAAAAAGTGTACCGAAACTTTTTGCTTGTTTTTTACCAAAGATTTTAACCGTTAAATATGCACACCCTTTACATTGAAAAAAATTTGCTTCGCAATTATAACTATTAACCATAGCAACTTTAAATCTAGTCAGAGTAATCAAGAATCCTAGTCGATTCAGTTATGTAGCTTAATTAATATTGTCAAAGTCGATTTAGTAGAATTGACCCCTTGTTTCCGAGTTATAATAACTAAGATTTTTGGTTAAAATGACATGTATGTATAGCCAATTTTGCTAAAGTTTATTTAGTAATTCTAGCCAATATAACTAAGATACCTGGTTATTTTGATAATGTTTCCTAGTCACTCTGACTAATTGTCGAAATAAACTTTGACCAAGATTGCCTAGTGGCTTTCTCTCGTAACTAGGCAAATCAGTCAATTCCTGGTATACGGGTGTTAGGAATTTTTTTCAGTGTATATAAAGCAACAACTTTCGTTAAACAAACCCTCTTTGTTATTATTAATAAGTTCCCACTTAACTCCCTTGAGTTTAAACCTAAGATTCTTTAGCTTACGGAATAATCTTCAGGTTAAGGTGAGCTGTAAATGTCCTATCTACCGTAAGCTGCAGTGTAAGATTGTAGTCAGCTTACATTTAAGCTTGCTATAACTTTACTGTAAGCTTCCCCTAAACCTTCTGTATACAGTAAGGTTATAGTAAGCTTAACTGTAAGCTGACTACAATTTTACACTGCAGCTTACGGTAGATAGGACAATTACAGCTCACCTTAACCTCACCTGAAGTTTACTCTGTAAGCTAACTAATCTTAGGTTTAAACTCAAGGAAAGCTTACAGCAAGATATTATACTGTGTGGTTTGTTTCACTAACAAAATACCCTAATTAATTTTTAGCACTAAGAAAGTATTTTTCGCTTCGAAATTGATCACAGATATGGAATTAACTGAATTCATTTTTACACTAACGGTTCCTTTACTATATATATCTAATATCTAATATATCTATATATCTAAAAACGTAACTGAAAAGCGGAGGAACTCGGTAAGTGGAGAATTAGCATAAATTCACAGTACGAAATTTACTATCTTTTGGTGCGTATAATTGTAAGAGCGATCTCTGCATGTGTATTTCCTTGACGTGAGAGATCTTACGTCTTTCTGACATTCTGGGTCGCGCCTTACGCAAATTCATCTTCACCTGATTTGATAACTGACCATAAATCAACTTCCATAAACATCATTTTCATTTGGTATGGCCAAGCAGCGAAATTTACACTATTTAATTTTTCAATTCTTGTGTGTTCCGACATTGTTTACTTTTCGAGCACTATTTGCAGGATAAACAAAAATTATGCCTTACCGACCAAAAAAAGCAAAATTTACAGACTGTCGCTATACTATTTTTAGCAGCAGAAATGTTAAAGATTTGAAGGCTAATTCAGATTAAGAGATTATATTTTTTGAAATATCAACCTCTAAAGATTAAGAACAGACAAATTTCAATTAAAGAGAAAATTATGATAGACCCGTAATGGCAATAAATTCATTAACTATTATAATTAGTTTTAATTCTTGATTTCTTATTGGTAATCAAGGATTTGTTTTGAAATCGGTTTATTTACATAAGATGGTATTTCTTATAAGACCTATTTACCGTTGGGGTGATGTTCAATTCTCAATTTGAAATTAAGATTTTTTCTTTGAAAATTTTTATTTTCATTTATTCTGATATAGAATTTCTGAAAAAAGTGAATCTCCTCCACTCTCATGGTGGGATTCGAATAAATGAAAACAAAAATTTTTAAAAAAATATCTTACTTTAAAATTAAGTATATAACATCAACCCATTGATAATATGAATTGGTCTTATGAGAAATACCATCATATTATAGTTAGTATTGGTGAATTCTCAAAATATATTCGGCTATTCAGTTTCACAGGTTTGTGTGTGAATCACTAATTTAGATACACAGACTATCCTGGAACAATAAAATTTAAACAGTACTTTTCAGTACCAATTTTGGTCGCTATGACAAGATCAATTATTTTCATTACGTGTCTACTATTAGTTTCTCTCTGCTTCAACTGAAAAATTTATTCATTAAATGATTTTACAATAGTTTTAAAAATTAAGATTACAAATTAAATTTTTTTACAGATGACCTTTCAAAATTTTGACATTAAAATCATGACTTTTGGAGTTGAAGTTGACAAAAAAGTAAGAACAGAATTTATTTACAATAATTTTTAAAAAATTAGCACTTAGTAAAAAAACAGTAATTCGTCATAGTTGTATCGCATCCGCGGTAACTTATTATTAATTGTAATAACTGTGCAGTAAATATCTCGTATATCTGGTCACGTAAAACTACCGATACTGTCTAAAATCTTTATAGTTATTAACGATATTAAGTTACAGTACATATCTCGTGTAACTGATCAGGTAAAACTATAACGCTATTGTCTAAAAATTTTCATACTTTAATTTCATTTAATATTTGTCAAACATTAATATTGTGAAACAAAATACACTGTGAGAAATGAGACTAGGTTAATACAGCCAGAAAAAAGTAGTTGCATGAAATATATTTACAGAGCATATAATTACTGATTAAATAAACCAGAAATGTAGTTTTGTTTTCAACTACAAATGCCTATTTTCAGCAACGTGAAATGACATGGATAACGATACCTTGGAGGTCCAGGTTTCAGTAAATAAAATTTTTGTTTTGTCTTTATGATAATTTACATTTGGTTTGTTCAAATATTTATTGTTTTCAATTTCATGTGACTAATTATAATTGAATTAATTGGAACAGAAGAAGCCTAAATCCATTTCTTTTTCTAAAAATACTTCTTTATTGAAATGTTGAATTTAAATGAAGTCCAACAATCTGGTAAAATATTACATAGGTTTCTAAATTGTTATTCCATTAAATAGCACATTCAAATTTTCGTTCCGTGCGGAAACAACAAATTCTTAGTATAAAAGAGAATAAAAATTGATCAAATTCGCTTGAAACACATTACTCACGGGAATTCCAAGTCACTAATTACGAATCTGACATCAGATTTTAGAAATTCAATATGGATTTGCGTGAAACTTGTTATTCAGGGTTTTCCGGGTCGATGATTAAGAATTTGACATTAAATTCGTTGTCACTGCCTTCAAAAATACCCCAGTTGAGAGTTTAAAACGAAATTAATCAATTTTTAAAAATATTTTCGCTAAATTGAATCGTCCATTTTGAATTTTCTAAATCTGATGTTATTCGTTACCAATGACTCCAAAAACTCCTGAGTAACAAGTTTCAAGCAAAGCTGCTTAACTTTATTAAAAGTTTATTTTGACTGTCTAGATGACATTCATTATTAAATAATAATAATCTAATACTTAAAAGAAAAACCGTTTTTATTGATTCCTGAACAATTTTGTTTTATAGATTTGTTTTGTTTCTGCATTAACTATTTCAATCATATAGAATTAATTTGATTTCGTTTTTATAACTTTTTTGACTATTTACAGTCAATAATTAATCAATGATGCATTTCTGAATTTAGTTTTCAAGTACAGTCCTGGTTGTAGTAACCAGTTATCTATGTCATGGTAGCAAATTATTTTCTGATTAATTCACAATTGGATTAGTAGTACATTTATCACTATTTCATTTGGAGAGAGAGGGGGGGGAGTATTCTAAATGTTAAAAAATATACTGTATGTAAAAGGTTTTCTAAGTCTAAGGTAATAATCTGACATTTATGCTTCTTCATTAATGATCATTATAGGCATGCATAGCATTTTATGCAATATATACGAAGTTAACTTCATCATTACGGCTGAAAATTTTCGAAGAAATTAAAAAAATTAATTCTTTCAAGAATTTAAAATTAATTATTGGACCATACTGTTGTGAAATGCTTGAGGACGTACGACGTGCTTTCGAGGACGTGGAATTCACAAGTTCATGGGTTCATTTTATTGAGGTATTTTTAATAGCTGTATTATTATACTGTACGGATAAAGAAAGTCTATCTACATTATTTTGAAGTCGAACGGAGATATTTAGTGGTGTGCAAAAAGCTCGAAACTCAATGGAGATTTTTCGAGCTTTACGTTTTTCGAGTCGAGCGCTATTAATTCGAGCTCGAGTCGAGTTCGAGTCGAGCCAAGCTGTATAAAAAACTCGAAAATTTTCGAGTACTCGAACGCTTTCGAGTACCCGAATATTTCGAGTACTCGAGTAACTTCGATCACTCGAGTAAATTCGAGTACTTGTGTAAATTAAATTTGAATATTCGATTGTTTGTAAGCTATTTACTATTTTTTCATGAGTTTGTAATTTCAAATATGTAGTCATTCATTTATCTGTTGATTAATTTAGTAATTTTTGCAAAACAATAAAAATTAAACGTTTAATATGCTCAAATTCATTCGAGAACTCGAAAACTTCGAGTCCTCGAATTCACTAGAGTACTCAAAAATTTCGAGTTCTCGAATTTACTCGAGTGCTCGATACCTCGAGTCAAGCTCGAGCTCGAAAAAATGTCGGCTCGACTCGGCTCGAAATTCGAGCTTTTTGCACACATCTAATAGTAGACATGCTCAATCGATTTGTAGAAAAAAATTACCAATTTTAATTATTTATATGCTAAATTGTAGATAGTACGATTTTTGTTTATTGAAAATTTTTATTTTCAGTTTTTTATGATTTTGAATAATTAATTGTAGAAATTTGAAAAAAAATGCTTAAATTAAAGTTAAATAATTTTAAAAAATTGTCATAATGAAATTGACATTTGTGAGGAAATCAAATTTTAATTAGTTTTAATTTTACTCGTGATTATTCTTAAATTTAAATTTCCACAATTTTTATTAATTTTCACTAACAATTATTCAAAATATTTTTTTTATAATTCATAATAAAAAGACACTCGCTATACTTTTAAAATTTTATTATTATTATTATTATTATTATTATTTCTATTTATTAAAAAAGTTTTTTCGTACAAATAATATTTTATCATATAGCAGTTTTAATATTGTTCAAAAAGTAGGTTCAGATGGGGTAAATTGGGACAAGAGGTGTTGGAGCTTAATTTACAGTTTTAATATTAAGTTCAACGTCAATATTTTAAAATTAGATCACCTACAAGAGGTTCTCAGTATTGCCAAGCTTTTATCTTGACAATCGGCAGAAAGATAATTCAAGTTATCGCTTAATGCATAAAAACTTGAAAATCAAAATGAAACTGTTTCAGTATTTTGTCTCGCATTTTAAAGAAAGCAGACTTAAAAATCATACAAAAATTTTTCTTTTCCCTTATGACTCCCATAACAGAAATTCACTTTAATTTTTCATTTTTGTCAATTTGATTAATAATAAAAATCTGTCCCCATTTACCCCAAGAATTTGAAAACTCAGGGTAAATGAGCACAACTGGTTATTATTATCCAAATTGACAAAAATGAAAAATTAAAGTGAATTTTTGTTATGGGAGTCATAAGTTTAAGTCTGTTTTTTACAAATGCGACACGAAATACTGAAATAAAAAAAAATTTCAATTGATTCAACTATTAAATATCTACTACAATTTTTTTAAGTTTTTTCATCTCTTTAGGGTATGTGGGCAAAGGAAGTTTTTTTGTGGTTTGAAACTTTCTCTGAAATAAATAATGATTTCGGGTTAAAATTTTGGAAAAATGATTTCGTTTTGTACAAGGAATCTTGTTGTTCTACTCATTTAATATAACTTCACGCAAAAATAATAAAAATAAAGCAATAAATAGTAAAATAATGTGTTTTATCATCGTTCATTCAGCGGCCACTCGCTCGAATTGGCGCTGTTTACTGGACCACTGACACTCAAGCAACGTCTCTGTATGGGCCGCCATGTTTCTTTTCCTTTTCGTTTTAAAATGTCACGTTTTAAACATTTTTAATTTTTTAATAATTTATTTTAATATAATTTAATTTAATAATTCATTTTTTAAAAATTTAACTCAAAATTATGTATTTTTCGGAGAACAGCGAGATTATGCTATGCTATGCTGTCCCCATTTACCACAAATTTTATAAAATTTTCTAAATCTTGGGGTACATCACAGATAAAACCTTAACTCAAAATGATAGCGTATGCTACTCATTTTGATAAGCAGCAAAAATGAGTCAGGTTGGTGGCGCCACTGTCTATGTCGTTTAGCATTGACTCATTTTTGCTGCATTTCAAAATGAGACTAAGTTTTTTCTGTGGTGGGAACAGTCAGTTTCATGCATTTAAAGCTTAGCTTAATTTTTTTCTGCTGCATAAAATTAATCCTGGGAATGTAAATAATAACTTAAAAAAATAAACCCGCAAATATTATCTTTTAAAGGAAGAAACTTACGTAATTTGTGAAAAATTTGGATTTTGTTCACATTTACCCCAACTGACCCTATTCATTTTTATAATTATTGATTATCGATCACAGTCTGATTTAAAAACATTAAGTTATTGATTCAAATAATACCTTCAGAAATGTTTTGACATACATATTACAGATTCTTGTCGAAAAATGGGTTGAACTTGAAATCGGACATGTGTCACAGCACATATTGTCCTATTTTGCATGCATTCCCTTAATACCACCTCGAGATTACTTTAATGCAGTAAGGACAATTCAAGATATGGTTCATCAATCCCTAACAGACCAAACTGAACAATTTGTTAAGGATATTTGTGATACAATTATTTGGGGAACAAATTTTGTTCCTCTTTTTGATAGTATTCACGAAAAATCAAATGATTTAATTGAATTAAATAACATTAGACTGCGAACGAAATTATTGAACTCCAAATTTACAGAAGAGTTTATTGGTAACATTCTTTCATTTCATTGATTTTAAAGGATTTGTATGCATTGTGACTCGGGTTTAACAGATTCTCTGAATTGACAATAATGAGATGGTAATTAAACGATATCACAGAAAAAAACGAGTCTCTTCTTGTTGCAAATAACAGGTAAGGTAAGGAACTCCGACTTGAGGTTTTATAAGAAAATAGGAAATTTTATTACTAAGTTTAACAAACAAGCAACCAAAACATCCGATGAACCCAAGTCACAGTGTATACCTATTTATATATATATATATACCCAATGGGCACACTTGTTCATAAGACGTCCTGAGGATGTCTTTTTGCGAACGTCTTTTGGACTTCTATTAAAGACGTCTTTTTGACGTTAGAGAGTGTTAGAGACGTTTTTAATTTGGCCCCGTATGGTATATCTTAACAACGTGAATAATATCTCTGAGGTATGTCCAAAAAAAGGTTTTATGTCTGCTCAAAAAGATGTTTTTAGCATGTCTAAAAGACGTTCTTTCAGATTTTGAAAATAGAAAATTTTTCATAAAAATAACTTTTAAATTTTATTTTCTAAGTTCAACGTATACACCGAAACTGTTTAAGATGAATGTTATATAAATTTTTTAAGTTCAATTCATTTTATTGAAAAATAAGTTCGTAATCTTTTTGAAGACTTTTATCTGTCTCAGATGGCTGAGACGCTTTAGGCGTAGAGTTTCAACCCAACATTGCCCCTTTCCGCGTTGACCGGGTTTACTGGGATGGGTGACTATGAGGTGTTCCACGCCAAATTCGAAGACCATCTGCAATTGCATCTCCGATTTTTTTAAAACTTTTTTTTCTTTTAGTACTAATTGTGACTAGCTTTCATGATTTTTTCAAATTTTTTTAGCAAGCCGTTTTCGAGATTTGAATTTTATAAAAAAAAAATATTTTTTTCTTTTTTAGATAAAATAAATGCTTTAGCAAATAATCAATCGAGTCGAGAAAAGGAAGTAAAATCTATGATTCAAAATTGTATGATAGACACCATTCAACGTCTCAACAAGAATGCGTAAATAAATGATTTCATTTTTTGTATTTTTTCTAGTTTACATTTAGAACCTACTTACACTGTAAAGAAAATGTTTAAGAAGTTAATGGCAACCGGAGTGGAGAGTAAAAATGAAATTTACTTCAAAAGTGAGTTAATCATTAAGGGGGAAAACTCGTGTAAAACAACATTTAAAAAAAATTTTTTTTGATTTAAAAATTAATTTACTATCTGTAGAATATGATCCTTTATTACTAATCTATAATTAGATGTATGAATGTCCTTTAGTACCTAAGCATAAGTTTAGCACTTCAGATGCTACCAAATGCAGATAACTATGAGCACGAGATCCCTCTATTCTTTCGGTTTCTTGTCAATATAATTTTATTAATTGTCATTAGAAAGCACCATAAGCAAGTAATAGTAAATCTTTGTTTTAGTGCAATATTTTTTTTCGAATACATAACGTCTTCAAGGCCAATTTTTAACCGATTTTAATCAAACTTACCACAAATCTTCTTTATTTTACTGGCTATTGCATGACAAGCTCCTTTTTTTAAAAAATTTTTTTAATAATTATTCTTGAACATTATTTATAAGAAAAAAAAGTAATTTTTTTTCAAAATAGTCCCAAATTTTCAAAAAAAAATTTTTTTTAGTTTTCTCTTCTTCATGCAAAACGTATTTGCGTATTTTAATAAACAAAATTTTTTCATGAAGCTTATATTACGTACTTCAAGGTATGCTTTAGTTTAATTCAATAAACTTTACCATAGTTTTAAAAAAAATCCTTAAAAAATGTACATTTACACGAGTTTCCCCCCTTAAATTAATTTCCTATCACAAACTCACAGTCACTAGGTATAAAATTAACTCGTAAAGCATTAATTCCTTCTCTCTTAAACTCCAAATGTGAGCAACTTATATAAATATAGTCCCCTTTGAAGTTAAAATTTAACTTTCTTTTTACAGTGTAAGATCCACTTAGTTTTATTTGTATTTCTTATAAGCCAACACAGAAAAAAACTGAACACTGATTTTAGAATATCTACTTAAATTAAGTGGAAAATATTCTTACAATAATAACAATATTCTTATTGAAAGAATTAATATTTCTAGGCTCCTATTTAAGTAGGTATTCTAAAATCTAGAATATCGTTTTTCTGTAATCATAAAATGAGTAGTGTATGCTACTCACTTGTACGTGAAGTAGGGTGTACATCTACAGCAATTAATATTTTATAGTTATGTACGTTCGTTGTATACCCTACTTTTATACTCCTAAAATCTTAAAATTTGCAAAAACAATTGAAATAATCTTTTGAGACCATCAATACCACTACAAACTGGTAAAACACTGCAAATATCAAAAAAATGTTGTGTTTAATAGTATGTAATTTCTTTTCTTCAAATTATAGCGTTTAGGAGTATGAAAATAGGGTAGACAACGTGTATAACTATCAATGATTATGAATTACTGTAGAGCTTACTTTACGCTTTTTCATGAAAAAATGGGAAATTTAATTTTCTTTTTGGATTCAAAGTAGGATCTGAATCTATTCAAGTTATAGCCTTGTTTAAGACTGCTACAACCTAACAGACTCTGAAAATTCAAGTTCAAAGTAGGGCTTAAAATTGGACTGGAGTTGTCCAACAGCAAAAGTTGCGGACGAAATAAAAAATATTGTTACTACAAAATATAATTTATCAAAATTATATTTGTAATACCTGTATTTTTATTTTTAATAAAAGTATTTCAGAGCAAAAAGACCAAAAGCCTTCTTAAAGCGCTTTAAGAACGTTTTATGCCTGCCAATTTAAGGTTCTAAAAACGTTTCAAGAATATTTTTTAGTTTTTTGAGATAATTGCAACTTAGAAAAAAAGTCGTAAATTATTTAAAGACTTTTGGGGTGCTTATTACGAATTTACAGTCAGATTTTTGAAATTCAAAATGGTGGATCTAATATTACAGACGAAAATATTACAAATTAAACAGATTTTGCTTGAAACTTTTTACTCGAGGGTTTTTGGAGTCGCTGATTACAAATTAGGAGTCAGATTTTATAAATTCAAAATGGCGGGTCCAATATGGCGGATAAAAAAAATAAAAATCTAACTGAATTATATATTGGAGACGCCATTTTGAATTTGTAATATCTGACTTCGTATTCGAAATCAGAGACCACAAAAACCCCCTAGTGACAAGTTCCAAGCTGATCAAAATGTTTTTTTATTTTTTTCGTCCGCCATATTGAATCTGTCATTTTTAATATTTAAAATCTGACTTCATATTCGTAATCAGCAACCCCAAAAACCCCTGAGATTTGAATTCAGCGTAAAAAATACATTAAGAAACGTTCTTACTTTTTCGCGTCCAACTGTTAACATGAATTTGTCTTCCTGTGCTATAAATGTTGCATTTGTGCGGTCATGCTCTCCCATGAAATATTTATGATAAAAATATACATAATTCAAGGAGATTGTATCGCTTGACTGAACTAGTCAAAAGAATAACCATTTTTCTCGGATTTGACTCACTTTGTAATTAGAAAATTAGAAAAGATTGAATTAGATTAAAATATATGTCAAAATTGTGAGTTTTTAACCGAGATCACCACTTCTCTTTTTTTTGAAGTAAAAATTAAGAAATTAATTAAAAATCATTGAAAAACATCAATAAAAATACATACAAATTATCACTATTTTATAACACTAAAATTAGAATTTTTAGAAAATAAAATCTTTTGTAATTAACAATTAAATTTTTTTGCAAATTTCAGAGATTGTCGCTTTAATTAGACAATTTGATTGAATCGCAATTGCTTTGGGGTTTTCTCGCCACAAAGTTATATAAAATAAAATTTTTTATAAATAATAATTAAAAATTGAATAAAGCTAATAATAATATCATGGTGGTGATCTCGCCACAAGTGTATATATTCAGAGAAAAACACAATAACTTTTAAAACACTTAAAAAATCGCAAAGTAAACCACACCATGACATTCAGAAGACTGAAATTAATAAAACATAATTACGTTAAATTTTTTTTGATGAAATTTTTTCTCAAAATAAAATCACAAAAATTAAAAAAATAAGTTGTGAAATAAGTTTCGATTTCAGTAATCACTCTGTCATTCGGTTGCTTCTTCTTTAATCGGATCGAAACTTAGGGCATATACAGGGTGTTCCAAAAGTATGAAAACTTGCAAATATCTCGAAAAGTACGCATTTTCGTGATGCTTCTTTTTTCACTGTTGGGCCCGGGGACCAATTTTTTGGCTTCAAAAATGTAGATCTTTTTTTGGGAACAACTTGTGCTTTGATTATTTTTCACGAAAATGCGTATTTTTCGAGATATTTATAAGTTTCCATACTTTTGGAACACCCTGTATGCACACTGCTATAAGAGACATTTACGTGAAGCGACAAATTTCTAAGTCAGAGAATACGAAAATAAAAGCCAAATGGTGATCTCACCCCACTCTACTCTATACTTATACGTATTTGAAATATGTATATTTAATTTTTTTTAGACTAGACGTAAAAGGTGCTATATTACAAATTGAAAAATTTACAAGAAATTTTATAAGTTTGCCAAAAGCAGGTGAGACTTTATTAAAACATTATTTATTGTAGTAAATATATAATTTTTATTTTTGAACATTTATACCCAAGTAACACGTCATATTACTGGAGTGCTATTTTGTAACTTCACTTCACTTTCACTTTACTTCACCTCCACTTCATTCTGGTTTAAATGTGATTGTACTTCACTTTGTATTATTTTGAAATTAAATTTCCTAATGCGTTTTTTACAAAAAGTAAATATTCTTAAATATAATTGTGATAAACATATTTAATCGATTAGTAATAATATTTTTTAATGGTCTATTATTATTATTATTATTATTATTATTATTATTTTCAATTGTAATGCCGAATCAGCTTCTGTGCTCTATGGATACGTTGCTCGTGTTTAGAGCAAATATTATTAGATTATATTAGAGGTGTGCAAGAAGCTCGAATGTCGAGCCGAGACGAGCCGAAAATGAAGTGAATGTGAAGTGAAATGAAAGTGTTACGAAAGTGAAGTGAAAGTGAAGTGAAGTTGCAGAATAGCACCCGTGTAATGTTAAAATATCCGCCTGATAGTAATATTACAAGGAAATGTTACCGTAATATATAATATACACTTCGATGGATTGTCCTGAAATTTTATAGGCTTATTACAGTCATCAATGCCTAAAATCAGACACAAGGGTTTCCAAAATTATCCACATTTTTTTATGTCACTTTTTCAAAAATTCAAAAATACGTTTTTTAACCAAAACTTTTTTTACACTGTAAATATAATTTTTTGTCCAAAAAACTTATTTCTCGCATTAAAATAAATTGATTAACCTATATAATGTCTATATTTTACTTAAAATCTATAAATTATATCATTTTTTAATTTTTGAAAAAAAACTTTGTTCGTATTTTTTTAAAAAACTGTTTTTTTTATGAAAATTATTAATAAATTTTGTCAAAACCGTATTCCTGGCATGAAAACGAATCGATTGATGTGTATAAAGTTTACATTTTACCAATATTTGTAAAATTGATCGCTATTTTAGCTGTAATCCTTCTTTTAATCTTGAATATAAGTGTATCATGATGAGAAAGCTAAATGGCCATGAATTGAACACTTTGCTTATATTCGTGTTATATTAAATTAATGTTACCGAAATATTACAATAACATTACGACGTAATATTACTGTAGGGGAGGATGAGGCAAAGATAGTTAGTTGCCGAAAATACGTCTTACCTAACTATTCATGTCCCATCCTCCCGTAATGTTATTGGAATATTACAGTAACATTTCCCTATAATATTACCATAAGGAGGACATTTTAACATTACATTAATATTATGTGATACTTGGGTGATTGTGTTTCATTGTCAAATTGTTTTGAAATAGATCCATGTATTATTTTTTTATTTTAATTATGAATGTTTATAAAATTAACCCCCCTTCATCACCGCCAAATATTAATAAAAGTCAAAAAATTTGTTGGGTTACATATTGTTTTGAAAAAAATTGATTTTTCAAGTTGGGACATTACACATAAAAAGTCTCATATATGAAATGTATCTTTTTGAAAATAATATACAATGAACTATCTGTAATTACTATATTTAAAAGTACCTAATTTTTAAAATGCTTATAAGAATTTATTTTTGCTAATAGAGATTTTGAATATCAAAGAAAATTATTGCCTTAAGGAATTAGAGGGGAAGATTTCAAACCCGAAACGGAAAGAAGGTATAATTTATACTTATTTACACAGAGAAAAAAATCAAGCGAATATAGTAGTAGAAACAGTGAAGGCGCTTGTATACCTCACCGATCCCAAGTATACTTCTGTCGTGTACCATTGGAGTAAAAGAAACAAATGATATTTCTGTCTCTTTTACTCCAATGGTACACGACGCAAGTATACTCTGGATCGGTGAGGTATACAAACGCCTTAACTCTACTACTTTCGGGCGTGCGCTTTCTACGATATTCGTAGAAGAATATACCCAATTTACAAGGTCCTATACCAAAAGAGTAACAGATCCCTGCCAAATATCGTTGAAAGCGCACGCACGAAAGTAGTATAGTATATATCTACTATATTTGGTTGATTTTTTTCTTCGTGTAGTACCCGGTTATTCATTATATTATAAAAATATCTTAGAGATATAGATATATCCAAATAATTCTGGTATTGTGTATAACTTTGCGTGATTTTTTGTCAAATTAGTATGTGAGTTAAGTTCAGAGATGGCAACCGAAACCGATAACCGAAAAAACAGAAATTTTTAAGAAACCGAAAACAAAAAATCGATACCCTTATTATAAAAATTTAAAAACCGTTATTTCGAAACCTAAATTTTATTTTTTCTGTTTTTTTCGGTTTTAATAATCGGGTAGAACAAATCGAAGAAAATTTAATAAAAAATGTTTTGATTTCTTACAATTCTGCACAAAAAAGAATTTCTAAAAATGTGAAATCGATTGAAATCTTAAATTTCTGGAAGTCCATGGAAAATGATTTTCCTTAATTGCGAGCTCTAGCTGATCAAGTAATATCAGTTTCAGCAACCCAAGTAAGCGTAGAACGCTTATTTTCAAGTCTTAAGTTTGTATTATCTCATCTACGTAGCAATCTTTCTTCACATATATACACTGAGAGACCTTTTGGACTGCAGCGGAACAAGGTAAGTGACAGCAGCGCCACTATGGTTTTGGTGTGCGGCGGTAAAATTTTGGGAGCGTGACTGTCCAAAATGTTAGTGAGTAGCTCACCGAAGTTGTGGGGACGCCACCTTTGGTTTGTAGCTGTACAACTTTTTGGCAGACACGCGCCCAAAAATCTACTACAGCAGCCCAAACGTAGTCTCGTAGCTTACCAACAGAATGCTCCGCAGCCGCCTGTCGAAAGTCGGCTACGGTGCAAAAGGTCTCTCAGTGTAGGAAAATGTGTTACTCATTTGTCAAAATAAATTATTTGCTGCAAAAAATTAATATAAAATTTCAAAAAATAATTATTTCTGTTTTGAAAATTCTACATTTTGTTTAACTATTAAGAGTTTTAATGTTCATACTTATAATATAAATTTATAAATAAATTATGAGTAATTATAATACATTTATTTTGTTCTAAATAATTCAAATCCATAAATATTTTTATTCATATTATTACTAGAGGGAAACAATTAAAAAACCGAAACCTAAAAAAACCGAAATTTTTGACATTAAAAACCCAAACCGGAACCTTAATCTTTTAAGAAAAAACAGAAACCGCAATACCCATACCGAAAAAATTTCGGTTGCCATCCCTGGTTAAGTTAGAACAGTTTCATGCTAATGCAAAAATACCATGTGATAGAATTAACCAGAATTATGACAGTAATTCGAAAAAAGTTCTTTCAGTAGACGTAAAGTACACCGAAATCGAATTACTGTTACACATAAAAATTAAAATTTTAGTAAATGAAGTATTATTATTATAGGAGAAGAACAATGTAAAAATATTAATCTTACGAAGAAAAAAGGAAATAAAAACCCTACAGGAGGCAAAAAATCAAATGTTAAGGCAGCAATAAGATCAAGTAAGAATATTGTCTAACATAAAAAATACATGTGACTCTTTGTAACAAGAAATATTTTAGTCCTAAAATATTAACGGTTATGGTTACGATCATTTTACCATATTAATAGTGAACGGGAACAAGCCTATTGCATCAATTCTTATCAAAAGTTATGTTTATTATATTATTTATTATATTATATTATTTATATTATTTATTATATACATAAAAAATTATGTAATGAATATTAAAATTTATCATTAGTATATGCCTTGAGAGTTAATCCTTTTGTATGTATTTTCATTTCAAAACTAACAAACTCAACCTACAAATTTGTGGAGCCAAAATACTTATCATCACAAAGAGTCACACAAGAGAGGCGTTTTATTTCAAGTAACTTAGTTAACAATTATGCAGCTATTTTCTGAGAAAACAGAAAGATAAAAAAAATTTAGTTAAATTAAAAATATCAAATCTTTTTTTTAATTAAAAATAATTTAATTTATTACAGAATCTCAAGGCCCAAAATCAGCAAAAAAAAATATTAAAATATCTGAAGTCAGTGAAAAATCTAACGCTGAAATAAACATTGATGAAATAAGTGGTAATTAAGTTCATACCATATTAACTTCTTATTATAAAAAACTGCATAATATTCGTACATTATTTAAATTTGGTTAAATATTAATTACGATCTTCCATAAAGTAGGCAGTACCACAAAAATAATATATATAAGTCATTTTACGTGTAATGTCATGAGTTGAAAAATTGATTTCTCAAAAAATACTGAAACCTGTGGAAATTGTTGTCCTACTTGATGGTTAAATATTTCAAAAAATTTTTTTTTTACTTTTTTGAAAACTTGGGATGAAAAAAATTTTCATAAAAGATAAAATTAAAATAGAGGACGGTGTCAATCAAAACTGAGAAAATTGACCCCCCTACCTCATCCCAAGTTTTCAAAAAAGTCAAAAAAATTTTTTTGAAATATTTAACCATCAAGTAGGACAACAATTTCCACAGGTTTCAGTAGTTTTTGAGAAATCAATTTTTCAACTCATGACATTCCACGTAAAATATCTTATATGTATATAAAGTCCAAAATATTCCCAAAGTATGTGTAAACATATGTCAAAAATATGAACACTTGACTCTTTAAGAAGTCTATTATACAGTGGCGTTAAAAAATTTTGAACGATATGTTTTTGTATGATTTCTTTCAGATCTTTCGAATGGTATAACATTTTTTAAAAAAACTTAAATTGTTTATAAAAAAATCCATTAATTCAAACTTCATCTCAGGTTCGTTAGATGCGGAATTTTATGACTTTTCATTTTGAAAGTTCATATTTTCGGTAATTTTATTTGTTTGTAAAATATTTATTTTATTTTTATAATTATTAATTAATAAATTAGTTAATATCTCAAAAACAAAAAATAGACATTCTAATATTTTTAGTACTGAAAATATGCATTCTAAACTTTACAAAAAAATTAAAATATTAAAGAGAAATGTCAATTTTGACAAAAAGTCAAAAATATATTTATTTTTTAAAAAAGGTGTTTTTTAAATTTAAAAAAAATTTTTTTACAACATTCATAAAGAAAAAAGCCGGGCTCAAAATTATCCAGCCAACAGGATCATTTTGATCTTAAGCAAAAATGAGCCCAGGTTTTTATTGTGCGAAAGAACAGAAAAAACCGTTACATACATTGGCGCCATTTTTCCTGACTGTAACAAGTACCTTGCCCCCCTCACGATAAAAACGTTACGTATTTTTTTAATGGCTCCTTTATAGTTTTTGATAAAAGCTAACAATATCTTGTGGTTAAAGCACTCATCCATAGGGTCCAACTATGTTCCATTTTGTTTATATTAATAAAATATAGAGCTAAAATTTTTGTTTTAGTTTAAAAAATATAAAATTCACAAATAATAAGTAATATGCTATATTATAGATGCTCAAAACTCACAATCAGACAATGACAGAAGTTTGAACTTCGTTTTAGATGGTAATACAATTTTTTATGTTTTAAAGATTTGAGTATTATACCAAGTAGTTTTAAGTGACGAATAATAAGTAATATGCTTTGTTGTACACAGAGAAAAGATATATTTGTCTTAGAAACTTTTTATTTATTTGGAATAAATTTCATTTTGGTTTAAATAAAATTTTATTTGTCTCAAATATATATTTTATTTATGTTGAATAACATTTTTATTTAAAACAAATAAATAGGCTACTTGGTGATGAGACAAATATACGTTTATTCAACGTGATTTATTTATGATTTATTTGGTTCAAATAAATCATTTCTCTGGGTGTATTTGAAAATAATTTGTATTAATTTTTTATAGCTCCTCGAAACTCAGAAACTCCGGAAAATATAAATCAAAACTTAAGTGGTAATTTATATTATGTATTTTATATTATGTATGACAGGAAAAATTAAAATAACTGAAAATAGGATTTTGAAAAAACTCTACTTGTCAAATGATAACTTTAAACTTTAACGTTTTTTGCTATCTATAAGAATTAATCAATTTATTTATACCCAGCAAACCAGATATAAAATGTTATATAACTTGAAAATAACTGTTTGTTAGATCAGATGAAACAAGTTATTTATAGAATAATTATGTAAATATTTTGTAACTAAAATCTGGAATATTATTGCACCAATACTTATCTATCTGTTTCATATTGTAAATGTAACTGAATTCTGGAGTACTGTTACATAATAGTTATGGAACTGTTCTATAACCAAAATGTAACAAAATTCTGGAACACTGATATAAAATAGTTGTCGAACTGTTCTATAACTGAAATGTAACCAAACGATAGAATAATGTTATAATAGTGCTACATAATTATTTCATGAAGTAGATATCGCAGTAGATTATATACACTAACCAAGCAGAAATTTCGGTAAAATTTGTTAAATATAGTTTTAATTTCACATTTTCTATTTTCCGTTTAAATGAATTGAAAAATTTCTCTAATATGTATGATAAAACAAATATACTTATCCTTACTTAATTTGTTTTATAAATAAGTTTAGGTTAAATTATTAATGAAACGTTTTAAAATTTTTAGACAATTTTCTATAAATATTTTTATTTGTACATGAGATGTATCGATGTTCTATATTTGTTATATCTTTGTTATATTCGGGATGGAACGATATTGAACTAAACTAGTTACTAAATAGTTTTTAACAAGTTATATAAAAATTTACAAATTGATCTTTTAATGTAACACGGAGAGAAATAGATGGTACGGGGTACTATCTAGATAGTACCAGGTACCATATTTGATCTTACATATACGGACAGCAATCTAGATTCTATTAGTAACAATCCAGATTGTACGGAGTAACGTCTTGATTGTAGTGGGTAGCATAACCATACTTTTTGTAACATCTTTGATAGTACCGAGTAGCATAATGATAGTACCGGATAACATCTACTTTTTACCATCTTAAGATCATAAATTCTTACCATCTATTTCTCTCCGTGAACTATTCTATATTATGGTTTGCTGGGTACACTGTGATTATTTTTTATTAAAAATTATTTTAAAACAAAATTCGTAAAGAATTATGAAACTCTTTTTCTAACAGTTCAAAAAAATACAAAATTTGAGTCAAGTCTGAAATATCAAAAATTTTGTTTAATTGAAAATAATTTCATTTATTACAGACTCTCCAGACACAGAATATGCAGAAAATAATATAAATTTAATTAGATTAAGTGAGAAATCTAACGCAGAAAGTAACATTGATAAAACAAGTGGTAATTAAATTCCTTCTATATTTACATCTTATCAGATATATAAAATTACATAATAGATTAACACTATTTAAATTTGGTTAATCATAAATTATGATCTTCCATAAAGTTTACAATACCACAAAAATAATATATATATATATATATATCGCTGGGTTAGTGGAAAAAAAGGACACGTCGGATTTTCGTTGAAAAAGAGGACACGTCGCGTTTGAATTGAAGAAAAGGACACGTCGAATTATATATTTTTTTAAGAAAATTTAAGTTGGTAACACTTTTTTTGAGGTTGACATTTAAATATTTATTTATTTATCACTTAACTGAAATAAATTATATTGGTTAGAATGGTTAAAAATTAAATTATAATATTGAAAATTTAACCTTATAATGCTATCTTAATTAATATTTTTGTTTAATACAATTTTCAGTTTTCGCTAAGTTACAAAAATTAAAATTATATTTATCCTTATTAAAAGATGAAAGATGTATATGCAGCAAAAAATTTATAACTTCAAAAATTTTTCGGGTCGTTTATGTGTAAATTGATAAAAAAAATTTTGATTGTAGGAAATAAAACTTAAATATAAAAGACAAACATCATAAAATGAAATAACAATTTTTATTATTATTTTTTATATTTTATTGATAATCGGAAATCAATGATGTGAAGTTATAAATTTGACGAATTTAAAAGTGTTACCAACTTAAATTTTCTTAAAAAAATATAAAATTTGACGTGTCCTTTTCTTCAACTCAAACGCGACGTGTCCTCTTTTTCAACGAAAATCCGACGTGTCCTTTTTTTCCACTAACCCAGCGATATATATATATATATATATATATAAAACTATAAACAAAAGCACTATTACATCAAAAGTCTCAATAAACAATGTTTATCTTAAAAATATATCAGTTAACATATTTTTTCTAACGTTTTTATTCCAAATGAAAATTATATGTTATTTATAGAAATTGGTGAATTTGATAAATATATATTCCAAAAGTGAAATTAGATTATTTATTATCTTTTTAATTTCTTTCAATATAAATGGGTAATAAAATATGCTATTCTGCAATATCAAGATATGATAATCGAATTTTTATTCTGTTTCGGAATTCATTTCAACTTTTTTCTATCTTATTTAATTCTTTTTCAGTTAAATTTCAAAATTTCTAAAGTATATATGTGACCGGGTCTGAGATATAAAAATATAAGTAATTCTAAGACAAAAATCACTCTTTGTATTTTTCCTTGAAATAAAAAATTAAAAACTTATTAATTTTTCAAATTTAACGAAAAATTCTACCTAAATCCTCGAAGATGATCTCCAGGTATACCCGTCATCGGCGACCTGGTTGTCCAAGTGTTAAGGATATTTTCTCAAACCTCAAATATGAATGCCAAAACCATTAAAAAAAACTATGTTAAATGTAATTCTAATCGGGTTCGCTATAATTTTCCTTTAATCTACTCTCGAAAATACGTATGTATACTAAGTTTGAGCCCAATCGGTTAAAATGGCCAGATTTTAGAGGGGGGGACAAAATATTGTAGACAGACATGAGTGAAATCATAAGTGTTCCGTTTCGGTTCACTGCGTGAACGGAACCCTAAAAATATATAAAGAACATTTATCTAGGTTCTTTGAAATATAAAATGTTTGAAGAAATCTGTTTTAATTAGTAGTAAAACTTTAAACGCGTTTTTTTCGAAAAGTTGATTTTGGTCGATAGCACCGTTTTCTCAGACCCGGTCACATATACTATAAAAGTTCACGAGAATAATTTGTCACCTTCAGGCTTGTAGGGATAAAAAATCTTTTGACTTCTTTTTAAAATTTTTTTTCCATAGAATTAAATGGAATTGAATTTTATGGCTTTCTGTTTTTTAAGTGGAATTGATATAGAGGAAATTTTCCGAATTAGAAGGAAATAAAATTTTGAATTCCATTCAATTCCACCTTTCTTGTCTGGTACCTGTGTGAAACACGGCTTCTACCTGAATAATGAAAATAAGATGACCAAATTCACGAATAATAAGTACCTAATATGCATTGTTGTAGTTGAAAATAATTTTCATTATTTCTTTACAGCACCTCAAGACACAGAAACACCAAAAGTTCTAAATGAACACTTAAATGGTAATTTATATCGCATTATACATATATATAACAGGGAAAATTAAAATAACCAAAAATGGGATTTTGTAAAAACTCTAGTTGTCAAATCTCAATTTTATACTTAAATGTTTTCTTTCTCTTTATTCAAAATAATTTTAAAAACAAAATGTTAATATGAAAGATTAAATTTGATAGTTGCATTTGAAGAGAAATTATAAACATTCAAAACATAAAAATATTTAAAAATTTAACAATTCATAACTGTTAAACGACTATATAAAAAATGTGGAAAATTTATGAAGCTTTTTTTCTAACAGTTAAAAAAAATAAGAAATTCGAGACAAATAAAAAATTTAAAAAATTTTTTTTAATTAAATATGTTCTCATTTATTACAGACTCTCAAGACCAAGAATATGAAAATTCAGAATATGATGAAAATTTTATAAATATATCTAGAATTAGTGAAAACTCATACGATGAGGAAAACAATAATCAAATAAGTGGTAATTAAATTTATATTATATATATAGGGGAGGATGGGGCAAGGATAGTTAGGTAAGATATTTTTGGATCTAGCCGTGAAATTTAAACTGGCATCGGAAAAAGAATAGTATCGTTGGAAAGCCTGTTTATTTAGCTACAATTTTGCTATACATTGTTTTCTTGTAGATTGCAATGCCTTCGAGATAATATTGGAAAAGTAAAAAAAAAATTTTAACTATCCTTGCCCCACTAGTGGGGCAAAGATAGTTGAAAATTTGTTTTTACTAAGAATGATACAAAAAATCATGAAATTTGATTTTCCATTGTTTCAAGGCTTTTTTCGAATTATCACAAATTTTTAGTACAAAAAAAATTTTTTTTTAAAAAACGAATATGATATTCGTTTTCAGCACAAAATTTTACACCAGAAAACATTTACGCAACCAAATATATTTAATAAATTATATCCGCAAAAATAAGATTGAATAATAAAAATAAGGTGAAAATATTTTAGCAAAACTGAGATGTAACACAAATGGGCACGTAGCTTCTACAAATAGTGTCCCCGCAAGCTCAAATTTTTACTGTCATCTTTTGGTGTTAAGACGAGTGTACATGATAAATGACCCGTTTTTTTGACGAGCCGTTTCTGAATTAGAGCCACTAACTATCCTTGCCCCTTAACTATCCTTGCCCCATCCTCCCCTATATATGACAGAAAAGATAAATAATACTGAAAGTAAGATTTTGATAAAATTCTTGTTATATAAATAATGTGTGTTTTCTCTTTATTCAAATGATTTTTATAACATTACAGATGTTCAAAACTCACAATCAGACAATGGCGGAAGTTTTAAACTCGTTTTAGATGGTAATACAATTTTTATATTTTCATTATATTTCCCGTGTGGAAAAGTGATGTGGGCCCCCAGTGGAGGCCTTATGGATCGCCCTCATGTCATGAGATGACATGCTCATGGGCCCTCACGTTTGCCTTAATGTTTATTAATCAACAATATTATTAATAATAGTTAATTAAAAATAAATAATCTTAAATTATGAATAATAACCTATTTATTTACTAATTCTTCCATTTTAAATTAAATTCTTACTCAAATTGAATTAATTAATTTTTTTAATTAACTGTCGGATATAATTAAAAGTAATAATAAATTAATTAATTAAAAAATTAAAAAATATGTTATGGTCGGATATTTTCATTTTTCAACTAATTCATACATAGAATTAATAATTAAACGCAAACCTCAGAAATAAATAAATCTAACGCATGGGGGGAATCGAACCTACGACCTACGGATTATGAGTCTAACGCTTTACCAACTCATTTAGTTAAAGTTAAGATATTAAATTATATTTTCCAATCAAATGCAATTTATAAAATATAATTAATTATATGCTTTATGATTATTATCATGAATCATCCCAGGTAAATTTTCAAAAAAAGTGAAAATATATTTTTATTAAAAACGTTTTTTTCGTTGTTCTGAATCATTGTAAACATTAATTTTTTGGTGATAAAAAAATATTTGACTTTTGAATTTAGAAAATTTTGCTATTCGATCATGTGGGCGATCTATACGGGCCCTACGTTGGCCCTCATGTCTCTTGCCATATGTGAGAGTGTTTTTTTTTTAAAGTTTAAATATATTTTTATTAAAAACGCGTTTTTTGTTGTTCTAAATCATTGTAAACATTAATTTTTTGTTGATAAAAAAATATTTAACTTTTGGACTTAGAAAATTTTGCTAAACGATCATGTGGGTAATCCATGCGGGGCCCCTACGTTGGCCCTCATGGATTCGCCATATGGATCAGCCCTCATGCGCCCCCGCCGGGGGCCCCGAAGTCTTGGGGGCAAGATCGTGGCATTTTTCACACGGGTTCATTTAAATTAAAAGCATTTTCTATGAAGTCGTAAAGTGATCAAAAAATATACCTATATGTTTTTTGATAATTACGTTGTGAATATTTAAAAACCCATTATTTGATTAAATTTTTTGAGAAGGATTGTAATTGGTGCCTATTAATGTATAAATTTCATATAATCAACTTCATTTAATCATTTTATTAATATTTAACAAAATTTTCAAATAACCGCGCCACCTAACCCCAAATGTACTTTTGAGATATTTATTAATTTAAAAAAAAAACTGTTAATATAAATCGAAATTTTTTTTGTTTCTTAATAACAAATGTATAGAGCTCAAAACTTAATATTTGTGCTCTTCTACAATTCATTTTTTAAAGAGATATCACAAAAAAATTAAGAGGTTAAAAAATTACTTTGGAGTGCCAAATATCAAGTGCATTAAATACTTTAACTTCCCTGTTGAAAATTCCTATGTGAGAACACATATGGGATCCCATCCAGGATCTCTTGTGAGTTCTTATGTGGGTTCCCGTACAGGTTCACACATAAGATCCTGTATGAAAAGGTTCCTGGGATGAACTTGCGTGAGATCAAGCGCACGATCTTATGTCTCTGTAAAAGCAATAACACAGGATCCCATGAGGTTTCCTGTGTAGGTTCCTATATGAACAACACGATAAATAGGAACACACATGGGATCTTATCCGAGATCTTGTATGAGTTCTTACATAGGTTCTCACATATAAGAAGATTAATAGCATATATATAAAAGCATTCTATAAAATCTTATTAAGCTGCTATTAATCTTCTTATATGTGAGAACCTATGTAAGAACTCATACAAGATCTCGGATAAGATCCCATGTGTGTTCCTATTTATCGTGTTGTTCATATAGGAACCTACACAGGAAACCTCATGGGATCCTGTGTTATTGCTTTTACAGAGACATAAGATCGTGCGCTTGATCTCACGCAAGTTCATCCCAGGAACCTTTTCATACAGGATCTTATGTGTGAACCTGTATGGGAACCCACATAAGAACTCACAAGAAATCCTGGATGGGATCCCATATGTGTTCTCACATAGGAATTTTCAACAGGGTTGAATGAAGAGAAAAATTAATTTAACTTAACACTTTTGAATAAACTCAAGTGCGCCAAGCAACCCCTGCGCCAAATAGCCCCGGTCTCCCCTAAATAGAATTGATGAAAAGAGGAAATTTTCCGAATTAAAAGGAAATAAAATTTTAAATTCCATTCAATTCCACCCTTGTTGTTGGGTACATATGCGACGAACTACTACTACCTATTAAATAATGAAAATACTACTTTTCATAGTTGAAAATAATTTACATTACTTCTTTACAGCACCTGGAGACTCAGAAATTTCGAAAAATATAAATCAAGACTTAAGTGGTAATTAATTTTTTATTATATATATGACAGAAAAGATAAATAAAATAAGGTTTTGATAAAACTCTAGTTATATAACTAATTTAACCTCACAATGAGATTAAATAAGTTATATAACTAATGTGTGTTTTCTCTTTATTCAAATGATTTTTGTAATATTATAGATTCTCAAAACTCACAATCAGATAATGACGGAAGTTTTAAGCTCGTATTAGATGGTAATAAAATTTTTATTATATTTTAAAGATTTGAGTGTTATACCAAATAGTTTTATGTAATGAATAAACATAAGAAGATATGAATGCAATATCGAGTTATAGATTACTTTTGTGTATCACTTGAATACTAAAAATTTATTTCTTTAGTGCAAATTAACAAAATGAAAAGTACTGATACAGTGCAGAAAAAATTAGTTTATACTGTTGTTTCTATTCTATACTGACCTATAACATTATCTATATCTAGAAAAACATTTCAGTCAAACTTTTTTTTCTTGAAGATCACCTAGGTAAATCACTAGTACCAAAGAGTAGCGTATATTTTAACAATTTTTTTTCTGTGACTAATTAAATAAAAAAATTTTGTTGGTATTAGTTTGTATAGTTTTTTTATACCCTTTTGATTGGTTGATGCGCATATTAAAAAAATGTATTTAACATTAGAATATGATATTAACAAACTGTTATTCTTAAATCCTTATAACTGTGATAAAAAATAATGGATTTCAAATTATACAGTAGGCGACATTAAGTTATACATTACGAAACATTAAGTCACATGAACTACATAATGTAATAATTATTATTGAAGCCTTGAATGACAAAAGGGGTCAAGTGCCAATTTTTTCAAAATAAAAATTTTTTTTATTAAAAAATCAAGTAAATTTATTTACACATTTCTGTAAAAAGGTTTTGATTTTTACTGCTTTTTACTTAAAACAATTATGAAAATCAATAATTTTATTATAATAATAATTAAAGCACCTAATTTTTATTTTTTTAAAATCTTTATTAATATAATAATATAATATTTTATATTGTACATCATACTAGTATTGTACCAGTACAATAACAGTACGTTATACTAAGTCACAAAAGTTTTCAGTACGTCGTACTCGTATTCTACCGATATTGCATACCGGTACGCCGTACTAGTACAGTACCTGGTACCGTGCGAAGGTACATGGCTGGTACAGTACCAGTACGCCTAGTACGCTGTACTAGTATTATACTCCCGAGGCGAAATTTAAGGTCTACTTTACAAGGAGTAAAGTAGGGTTAAACAGACCCTCTTTAGCTTCCTCAACCAGTCGCAAATTTCCCTTTCTTCCACGTTTGGATTCAAAGGAGGGTCTAGGGGAGTCTACAAGATCTAAAAGAGGGCCTGTTTAGGTTCTAAGGGAAGCTAAAGAGGATTTAAATTTCGCCTCGGGCTACTACCGTACTAGTACATGTGTTATCTGGGTATATATATATATAATTTTTGGTTGGAAAAACTCACAAAAACTAAATTTAAACGACTTAAAATTATTGGCTGGTCAAATTCTTTTGCCATGATTGCCTCGACGGTTGACAAAACTAAAGATAAAAAAAAGTTTAAAAGTTCACAAATTATTGTTTTTGATAATACTTATTAATATTATGTGGGTAAATTATTATTTTTATTTTGTTCTGCTTCAAAATTATTATTTTTTTCAGTCACAACTTATCAACTCGATTTTGTATTTATATTCCCATGTCAACGTAGCGTAATGGGCAGCGTGTTTGGCTGTAGAGCGTTAGGTTAGGGGGTCTTATCCTAGCGAGCATTAGATATTTTCGAAAATGTATGTAGACAATAGCAGTTAATTATAATAGGTAGAAGTATATGTGAAGTCTCCGATAATAAATAATGTGATAATTGTATAAATAATTAGATTTTTTAATTTTCTTAATGTTGATACTACTACCTATTTAAAGTTTGTCGGACTTTATGATGAGTTGTCGGACCAACCATCCTCATCAATGGACGGTGAACCGTTATCATTTGTATAGTTTGCTCAACCATCGGCAGATTAAGTTGGGCCAACTATTAATTTTAAAGTTGGACAAACTTTGGAAATTATGGTTGTCATAACAGTATTAAGAAATTCAATTAGAAACATATAATTTTCATAGAAAAAATTAAAATTGACACCAACATTTTAAAAGAAGTTAAGATCATTCAAAACATCAAATATTTAAAAATATTAACGATTCACAACTTGTGAACGGCTTAAAAAATATTAATAAAAATTATGAATCTACTTTTCCAAGAGTAAAAAAATAAAATCAGAATTAAATCAAAAATATTGAAGCTCTATTTTAATCATAAATAATTTCATTTATTACAGCCTCTCAAGACCAAGATTATGTTGAAAATAATATAAATATGCCTAGCAGTAATAAATCTAACAAAGAAATAAACGTTGATCTAAGAAATGGTAATTAAATTTATATTACAAATACTTTTAATTATATAAAATTATATCATTGCCAAATATTATTTAAAGTTTGTTGAGCATAAATTATGATCTTCCATAAAGTTTACAATATCACAAAATAATATACATTTGACGCATCGCGAAGAAAGGGGCCTAAGAGACAAATCACTTTAAGGTTATGTTTGAGTCAGTTTTACATTAATATAACTCTTTTTCTTAATTGCGTAATAGTAAAATTGTAAACATAATATGAAATTTATTGACTCTTAAATCCTTACTGTTAATTCCCATATGAGATCCTATATAAGATCGCTTATGGTTTCTTATATGAGATTCTATACGAAATCCTATAAGGACATCTCGTAAGGAGAAAATCATCAGTGTCCATATAGGATCCCATATGAGATAGGAATTTGAATAATAAAATTTGTGAATATCTCAAAAACGGTAAGAGGTACGCAAAATCGGACAAAATTTTGAGTTCATTTTATATAAAGCAAAATTATTTTATGTTTAAAACCTAAAATATGTCCTAAATATACCTAAAATAGTTTTTAAATAACTACTACATATTCCCATGTGGGTTCCTATGTGAGATCTCATATAGAATTCTATATGGACACTCATGAAATTTTTCTCATGACTTTCCATATAGGATTCTCGTAAGATCTCATGTAGTATCTCATATGAGAAAACTCATATGATCTTATACGGGATCTCATACGGGAATTTACAATAGGGATCCTTTTCTTCACAACGCGTCAAATACATAAGTATATAAACAAAGGCAGTAAATAGTTTTGATTTATTTATATTCATAAATTCTTTTGTCAAAATTTTTGTCGCAGTTTAAATATGTTGACATTTGTTTACATTTTTTAACCAAAAGAACAAATATTTTTTTCTCAATCAACTATGTATATCATAATAACATGTCGGTTAACATATTTTTTATGATTACAAAGTTGAAATCAGATTTTTAAAATTTTAAATGGCGGGTTTCAAGTTAAATTTTAAAAATTCAACATGACAGATTCAATATGGCGGACAAAAAATATAAATCAAACAGAATGACATATTGGAGCCGCCATTTGAATTTCTAATATCTGACTTCGTATTTGAAATCAGAGACCCCAAAGACCCCCTAGTAACAATAACAACTTTTATAAATGGTGAAAACAATAAGTTTTTTTTCCATATGGAAACATGTTATATGAGATCCTGATCAATTGTCCGAATGTATGTATGTGTGTGTGAATCCTTCTTTCGTCCGCCATTTTTAATATTAAAAATCTGACTTCATATTCGTAATCAGCGACCTCAAGAACTTCCGAGTTTCAAGCAAATGCTATTAAGTTTTAATTTTTCCCGACATATTTTATTGGACATTTTGAAATTTGACGTGTTAGAGAAAATCTAACGACAGATTCGAATTCAACGTAAAAAAAGTTCGTTAAGAAATGTTCTTACTTTCCCGGGTCCAAAAGTTGACCCAAATTTGTTTTGCTGTGTAATTTGTCAATCAGTTAATATACTCTTTTATAGTTAAACAAATTGGCATATTGCAAATTGACCATAAACCATTTATACTGTTTTTTGTTAAAAATGATTTAATTTAAATTATTGTAGAGACTCGTGCCTCAGAAATTCAAAAAATCGAAGAATTAATTAAGTCAAAAATTAAGGAACCAATTGTCATTGAAATTCCAACGCCTACGTTAAATCAATCATCATCTCTACCTTTATCACTTTTATTCCAATCTGCAAACAATCCAAATGCACCATCAACGGCATCAAGAAAAACAACAGAACTGTCCTCATCACCCCCAAATTCATCTAAGGATTTAGACACAAACAATCCAAATGCAACATCAGCAGCAACAAAAAAAACAACAGAACTGTCCTCTTCACCCCCAAATTCATCTAAGGATTTAGACACAAACAATCCAAATGCAACATCAGCAGCAACAAAAAAAACAACAGAACTGTCCTCTTCACCCCCAAATTCATCTAAGGATTTAGAGATTAATTTCAAAACTGAAAATTCAAAAGACAGAAGAACTATGCGTTCACAACTTTTCAAACTTTTAAAGAATTTTAATGATGAGCGTAACTATTCAAAGTGTTTGTTTTGCTCTACATGCATTTCTGACTGCCTTCATTCAAATGAAAATTCGCTTCTAAATTCAAAAAAACAGTTACGTAATCCTTCAAGAACTTCATCTAAATCTAAAAGTTCATTCCGGTCATCTCACGGCTCGCCAAAAGATTCAAAACGACATTTAAATTTTCATGAATCTACTTCTCATCATTCACGATCAGCTCATTTACCAAATCATTTCAAGACTAGAACAAATTTGCATAATTATCCAAACCATGCATCAAATACACAAAATTTGTCACGGTCACCTCGCCAATCACGAAAAGATTCAAAACATTTTCATGAAACAACATCTCATCGTTCTCGATCACCTCATTTCAAGATAAGAACAAATTCGTATAATCATCCAAATCATTCATCTATCCCACAAGATTTTTCCCGGTCACGACACCACTCAAGAAGAAACTCAAAACATTTTCATGAAACAACAGCTCATCGTTCTCGATCTCCCTATTTTCAAAATTATTTTAAGACAACAAATTCAACTACTCTTTCAAATAATGTTTCAAACCCACAAAAGTCTCGGTCATCTCACCACTCACCAAGAAATTCCAAACAACATTCAAATTTTAATAAAACAACATCTCATCATTCTCGATCACCTAATTTGAAGACTAAAACAAATTCGCATAACTATCCAAATCATTCATCTAACACACAAGATTTATCACGGTCACCTTGCCATTCACGAAGAGACTCCAAACATTTTCATAAAACAACATCTCATCGTCCTCGATCACCCCATTTCAAGACTAGAACAAATTCTCATATTCATCCAAATCATTCAGCCAGCCCACAACATTTGTCCCGGTCATCACACCATTCACGAAGAGACTCAAAACATTTTCATAAAACCACATCATATCGTTCTCGATCACCTTATGTGCAAAATCATTTGAAGACAACAAATTCAATTAATCTTTTAAATAAAAATTCTTCAAACTCACAAAAAAGATTCTTTAAAAGTGTCGGGAGTTCGACGCCACTCACCTAGAAAAAATAAAGGTGAATTGATTAATATTCAATTTTTTAAAAGAATTTAATTGTTTTAAGACATTCTTATGTTCTTTAATTAGTTTAATAATAAAGTTAAAAAATTGAGTTAATAAGTTACAATCGAAAAAATGTTTTAAAATACTGAAATTTGTTTACAGTGTTAACTTAATTTTTTACTCAGATGTAGTTATGCAGAAATATTATTTGGATTTAAAATTAAAATTTTGCATTCGAAACGTATTATTCATTATAAAGTAATAAAAAAATAAGGACTTTGCACAACGATCAATCCAAGAATTATAATCATTCATTGAACGGTCCGTCCGTCCTATCGACGAGAATCGTCGCGATTTCATCATAGGGATCATGCAGGGATCAACTATTAACTGTAGCTGTAGGTGGCGTATTCTAAAAGGTACTTTTTTGATGCACTTAAATCCGGACAACCATTAATATATAAATTCAAATTCAAACGGGAATCTCTTCATAAAGGTTTATTCTAGACAATAAACCTAAAAACTCGGAAAAGTGCGAGTGTAACTCGCACTGAAATAGAGGGTTCTGTACTATTTTATGTTTTGGAAACTTTAAACTCGTTTTTCTCGAATACACATTTTTTTCTAAAATTATCATTTCTCTTTAAAAATTTGATAAAATGAATCATCAACTCCAATCGTGATTCCCTTTTTCTTCCTGTAATTTTCACATAAAAATACATTTGTAAAATAAATATAAACTGTCTGGGTTGAATATTGTGAACGTTAGGGGGATTAAACACTTTTTTCGAAATTTTTATTTTTCCTTGACAACGCTATGTAAATCGATCCGAATCAAGTTCGCTATATTTTTCCTATAATTTTCACTTTAAAATACATAAGTGTACTACTAGGGGGGGGGTACATAGTAATTTTTCGTAAAAAAATACCAATTTTCAGCCTTCCATATAAATTCGTGTGCCCGCTATGGGGGAGGTAGGGGAGGGGTATCTATCTTCATCTGAATTAATAGAATTTTCACTGATTCGCCAGTGTATTTTCACTTATTTGAATAAGTGGTATACTTATAACTGGTTACATAGTGAATTTTTACTGATAAATCAGTGTATTTAACTGATTCACCAGTGTCTCTGGTTTTTTAAATAAAGAATCGAATGATTTTGAACTTTTTAAAATCGGTTCGGTAAATATGGAGAAAAGCTATGCACCAGTTTGAGAAATGTGTTTTCGAGAAAAACGTGTTTAAAGTTTCCAAAACATAATACTTTAAACTAAGGCTATCAAACAATCTATGATAACAACTTTTCTTTACATATTTTTTAAAAAACGTTTTGGGACAGTAATTTTCTGAAACTAAGTAACATTTTCAAGCAAAAAAATCGACTTTTTTGGAATTCTAAACTAGAAAGTCACTTTAAAGGTGCTTTTATAACTATAGTATTCTGGTCAAGCAATCGGCTGGATTGAATTTTCACGGAAAATCACTGAATTTAATTGGTTATAACAAAATTCAATTTTCACGGTGGAAATGTAATATTTGTCAGAGCCATGCAAATTTAGTTATACAACCTTGACAATTCAATCCAGTTGATTGCTTAACCAAAATACTGGGGGTATAAAGCACCCTAAGTCTTTATAAATTAGTCGAATATTAGATATACAAGAGACCCTATTTATTGACACTTAATGAGCATTTAATGATACTACCGAGGAATCCCACCTTTTAGCAGTAGTATACTTAAAAATTTGTCCGGACTGCACCAATCAGAATATGAGTATAGCATCGTGTCGTCGGACTCAATTTAGAGACGAAGAAGATGTGAGGCTTAAAACATATTAATTAAAGGCTATGCTATACATGTAAATCATATGCTCTTCATGTCCCGAGGCGAAATTTAAGGCCCGCTTTACAAGGAGTAAAGTAGGGTTAAACAAACCCTATTTAGCTTCCTCAACTAGTAGCAAATTTCCCTTTCTTTCACGTTTCGATTCAAAGTAGGGTCTAAAAATGTTGATTTCAGTTTTAAATGGTAATTAAAAAAATTGTGTGAAAAAGAAATTAATTTTGCTTTAATCAAATTAATTAACCCGTCAACGATCGCGCCGTGAGAAAAAGTCTCACGCAACACTACTCAACATATAGGGCGCTGTTGCAGTGCGAGTGAGAAACAAAAAATAGCGCGACTGCTGAAGGGTTAAAAGACTATTTTTTTTGTATTTTTTATACTTCTTAAATCGAACTAGACCCTCTTTAGCTTCCTCAACCAATCGCAAATTTCTGTTTATTCCACGTTTGGATTCAAAGGAGGGTCTAGGGGAGTCTACAAGATCCAAAAGAGGACCTATTTAGGTTCTAAGGGAAGCTAAAGAGGATTCGAATTTCGCCTCGGGGTGTCTCTTGAAAATCACGTTACTAGCAGAGTAGAACTATTAACAAGATAAAAAAATCTATACCTGTTGGAAACAACAGGTGATTTTATATTAAGACGATTTTTCTATTGTCGCTAGCAGAATTGCTCCTCTGTTAGCAGAGTAGCAGTATTAACAAGATAAAAAATTCCATACTTGTTGGAAACAACAGATGATTTTATTTTAAGAAGATTTTCGTCTGTCGCCAGCTGAATTGCTTCTCTGCTAGAAGATTAGCACTATTAACAAGATGGAAAGTTTCATACCTGTTGGAAATAATAGACGATTTTATTTTCAGTAGATTTTTCTTGTGTCACCAGCAGTGTAGCACTATTACCTTGATAAAAGAGTCCATACCTGTTGGAAACAACAGATGATTTTATTTTAAGAAGTTTTTCTTCTGTCGCTAACAGAATTGCTTCTCTTTTGGCAGAGTAGCAGTGTTAACGAGATGGAATGTTTTATACCTGTTGAAAACAACAGACGATTTATTTTATGAAGATTTTCTTCTGTCGCTAACAGAATTACTTCTCTTTTAGCAGTTAGCAGTGTTAACGAGATGGAATGTTTTATACCTGTTGGAAACAACAGATGATTTAATTTTAAGAAGATTTTCTTCTGTCGCCAGCTGAATTGCTTCTCTGCTAGCAGATTAGCACTATTAACAAGATGGAAAGTTTCATACCTGTTGGAAATAATAGACGATTTTATTTTACGAAGATTTTCTTCTGTCGCTAACAGAATTGCTTCTCTGTTAGCAGAGTAGCAGTGTTAACGAGATGGAATGTTTTATACCTGTTGGAAACAACAGATGATTTTATTTTAAGAAGATACTCTTCTGTCGCCAGCTGAATTGCTTCTCTGCTATCAGATTAGCACTATTAACAAGATGGAAAGTTTTATATCTGTTGGAAACAACAGATGATTTTATTTGCAGTAGATTTTTGTTTTGTCGCTAACAAAATTGCTTCTCTGTTAGCAGAGTAGCAGTGTTAACGAGATGGAATGTTTTATACCTGTTGGAAACAACAGATGATTTTATTTTAAGAAGATACTCTTCTGTCGCCAGCTGAATTGCTTCTCTGCTAGCAGATTAGCACTATTTACAAGATGGAAAGTTTTATACCTGTTGGAAATAATAGACGATCTTATTTTCAGTAGATTTTTTTTTGTCGCTAACAGAATTGCTTCTCTGTTAGCAGAGTAGCAGTGTTAACGAGATGGAATGTTTTATACCTGTTGGAAACAACAGATGATTTTATTTTAAGAAGATACTCTTCTGTCGCCAGCTGAATTGCTTCTCTGCTATCAGATTAGCACTATTAACAAGATGGAAAGTTTTATACCTGTTGGAAACAACAGATGATTTTATTTGCAGTAGATTTTTGTTTTGTCGCTAACAAAATTGCTTCTCTGTTAGCAGAGTAGCAGTGTTAACGAGATGGAATGTTTTATACCTGTTGGAAACAACAGATGATTTTATTTTAAGAAGATACTCTTCTGTCGCCAGCTGAATTGCTTCTCTGCTAGCAGATTAGCACTATTTACAAGATGGAAAGTTTTATACCTGTTGGAAATAATAGACGATCTTATTTTCAGTAGATTTTTTTTTGTCGCTAACAGAATTGCTTCTCTGTTAGCAGAGTAGCAGTGTTAACGAGATGGAATGTTTTATACCTGTTGGAAACAACAGATGATTTTATTTTAAGAAGATACTCTTCTGTCGCCAGCTGAATTGCTTCTCTGCTATCAGATTAGCACTATTAACAAGATGGAAAGTTTTATACCTGTTGGAAACAACAGATGATTTTATTTGCAGTAGATTTTTGTTTTGTCGCTAACAAAATTGCTTCTCTGTTAGCAGAGTAGCAGTGTTAACGAGATGGAATGTTTTATACCTGTTGGAAACAACAGATGATTTTATTTTAAGAAGATACTCTTCTGTCGCCAGCTGAATTGCTTCTCTGCTAGCAGATTAGCACTATTTACAAGATGGAAAGTTTTATACCTGTTGGAAATAATAGACGATCTTATTTTCAGTAGATTTTTTTTTGTCGCTAACAGAATTGCTTCTCTGTTAGCAGAGTAGCAGTGTTAACGAGATGGAATGTTTTATACCTGTTGGAAACAACAGATGATTTTATTTTAAGAAGATACTCTTCTGTCGCCAGCTGAATTGCTTCTCTGCTATCAGATTAGCACTATTAACAAGATGGAAAGTTTTATACCTGTTGGAAACAACAGATGATTTTATTTGCAGTAGATTTTTGTTTTGTCGCTAACAAAATTGCTTCTCTGTTAGCAGAGTAGCAGTGTTAACGAGATGGAATGTTTTATACCTGTTGGAAACAACAGATGATTTTATTTTAAGAAGATACTCTTCTGTCGCCAGCTGAATTGCTTCTCTGCTAGCAGATTAGCACTATTTACAAGATGGAAAGTTTTATACCTGTTGGAAATAATAGACGATCTTATTTTCAGTAGATTTTTTTTTGTCGCTAGCAGTGTAGCACTATTACCTTGATAAAAGAGTCCATACCTGTTGGAAACAACAGATGATTTTATTTTAAGAAGATACTCTTCTGTCGCCAGC